ACGTAAAGGACTTCAGTGTAGCGAACCGTTGTCCCATCAGGTGCCGTTGCTCTGATCGTTCCCGTCATCGTGCTGCTCAGCTCGCTCCCATTAGCGAGCTCCACACAAACAGGTTCGTCCAGCTCCCTTAACTCTTCAAACCAGCTCTTGTCTGAGGTCATGTGCTGGCTGCATCCACTGTCCAGCATCCAAAATGGCGCTTTAGCTGGTGGTAAGGTAGCTTGTGACGATCCCACTGTTGCTGTGCATGTGACAGTACGTTGCTTGTTTTCCCCGGCTGCCCCTTGCTGTTTTGATGCATTGTTGTCACGCTTGGGGCTGCAGCTCCTTCGTGGGGAGAACGAACGGCTGTCGCTGGTGTGCAGTTTTGCCTTTCCGCGGGTATGCGGTTCCCACCCTGGTGGTGTCCAGCCAGGGGGTGCCTTGGTACACTTGAAGAAAGGATGGCCTGGCTCCTTGCAGTACCAACACACGAGAGATGAGCGGCTTGCACTTCCATCCTTGCCATGCGTTTTCTCCCCAATGGACCCCTCCTTCCCGCTATTTCCCTTAGCAGTTGGAGAAGGTGAGCGGTCTCCACGTGCTTGTCCAACCATGCGAGGTGGACGCCGGTCACGGTTATCCTTCATGATGAGGTCGTGATACCTCTGCTCTTGAATCATCATCCGCTGCAAGGTGAAACTGTCCGTCACGTTGTGTAGCATTGCCGAGTGCCTCATTTCCTCCCAATGCGCCGGTAGTCCGGTGAGCAGATTTAAGGTGAATGTGTCCTCATCCACCATCTTCCCCGCGAGTGCTAACTTGTCCCGGATTGCCGTTGCGCGGTTCACGTACTCCTCCACCCTTTCCGCATTCCCCATTTTCAGGTTGTCCAGCTGCTTCATGAGAGAGACCTTCGCCACCGAATCTTTGGCCTGGTAAGTATCCATTAAGTACTCCCATGCTTCATAAGCCGGACTGTACGATTCCTGGAACATGTCCAGTTGCAGCTGAATCGTGGCGCTCACGCTGTGCAGCAGTACCCAAAAAGCGAGTGCCGCACGCTGTGAGTAATCCGCCTGTAGCATTTCAAGCCGCCCCATAGCGTCATCAATGTCACCATCTCCCATGGTAACCGGATACTGCAGGGTCACAAAGAACTCCCACAGATTCGTGACGCGAGCGTTCATACGAAACCGTAGTGCCCACTCCCGGAAGTTCGAGTCATCAAACGGAGTAGTGGTGAACGCTTTGTCCACCGCTGCTCCCACCATTTTGCGTGACAGCCGTTCCTTGTCTTCTTCCGTGTATTCACGTGGAGCGGGGTCGAAGAGAGTAGGCACGGTTGACGGTCGAGGTAGCTGTAACGTGCGCCGCATATTCCCATTCTGTCCACCAAGTTGACGTTCTAGCACTTCCACTTGATCGCGTCGCATGACACCACTTGACTGCATTCCGTATCCCATCCGTCCCATGCTGTCCACAGGATGTACTCCTATCAGTGGACGTAGTGCACGCGGAGGTATGTCATAGCCGCCATGAAGGTGAGACTTGACCATGGGAGGAACTCCAATGGGATGGGAGTTAGTTGCAAGTCGTCGTAGTGGAGGAGCACCAATAGTGTAGGAGGCAAAACCCACACCTTCCACGCCCACTTGACCATTTCCGTCACCCTGCTGCCCAATCTGTCTACTTCTCATTCCACCATGCACTGCACTCCCATACTCATCATGCCTCCCCCGTGCTTCCCTTTGCATGGATGATTGAGGTGCGGGATTGGCGCTCTCCTCTCCTTGGACGGATGCATCCCTCCCTTGGGATGACTCTCCTCCTTGAGGTATGCTCATTTCCCCTTCACCATCAATTCCTGCATGAACATTTGCACGAGTTTGGTTAGTACGTGGAGTGCTTGAATGAGAGTGTCCATGGGTGGACGGATTGCTGGACTCATGAGAGAACGTTGTCCTTGGCTGGATTGTCATTCCAAACTTGTCCCTTAACGAAGCTTGGAGTGCTGGTGGTGCCCTTGCAATCATGCTTTCCAGGTGCCCGTGCTGAGCCATGATGGCTTTTTCAAAAGCCGCATATCCAGGATCCACTTCGCCATCGAAGTGCGCCATGACCTTGACAAAACCGTCCACCAAGTGTGCGGTAAACGTGCGGTTGTAACCAACAGCGAACACCAAGTGTACGAAAGCGTAGACCGGGTGTGCGGTACTCTGACTGTATGCAGGTACCTATCCGAAGTGAATGCCAGTAAATTCCTGAACCAAATTTGGCAGCATGCCCCCTAGAGTTGCTCTGATACCATGCTAGAAAGGCACAGTGCCAGCGTAGCGGAAACGTGTTTGTAGAAAAGAACAAGATAGAAATCTTGCATTGATCATTGAAAGGTAAAATGATGATGAAGAAGTGACACAGCAGGGTATTTATATGCATCCAGCTACCCCTCCAGAATGACCCATTCACACCAATAATGGTGTACCAATAATTGTACCCTCTACCCTCCAATAATGCTGACCTCCAATAATTGTTGACCTACAATAATTGTGACAATTATTGTAGGACCTGGAGGCTTATAACGAGTACTACACTAAAACCAAACAGCACACCAGTATACAGTATTCGTTATACTGTACTCGGTTTTCCAACACGTTGTACATCAGTTTCTACTGGGCTCAGTTGGGCCCTCGACCTGCCGTGCACCTGCTACTGCTTGTAATTAATCGCACATCAGTTGCTACCCGGTTCAGCTGCCGGACATCGTTGACTTTTGCTATGTGCTGAAGGCAGTTAAATGGGTGTGTTGAGTCATATTCTCAATATTGCAATTGCCTGTAGGAATAGTTAGTATAGTTCTGTTAGTGGTGTACCTCTTGCCTTGCCTGGCCCTGTCTCTATTGGCACTCCCCATCTCGATACTAATGCCAAACCCCTTCCTGCTCGTCACCCTTCCTAGCTTCTCCTAAACCTAGCTCAAGCTACTATGTTGCTTTCTGAGACCCATCATGGCCACCAACCCCTTCAGCCCCCCCCTCAGAACGGCAGATGCGGCAAGGCGGCAGGTTGGGTGGCAGGTTGGGCGGCAGGTTGGGCGGCAGGTTGGGCGGCAGGTTGGGCAGCGGCTGGCGCTGCAGGATTATGACCGCCAACCCCACAGCTTTCCCTCCCACAGCGGTAGCTGCGGCTGGTCCCGAAAGACCATAGAGCAACCAACCAGTCGCGGTTTATGCGTGAACAAGAAGCGCGGCATTGCCCAATACGACCGTCCGGGTCAATTCTAAAGTGCCTCAAAAGTCAACGCCTGTGCCCGCTCTTATCATACGACCTGCACCACACAATCGCAGGCAACCATGCACACATTGTGGGGGAGAAATCAGGAATACTAGAGAATCCCTGCACCCCACCCTCTTCCCTGCATCCCTCACCCACAGCAGCGGCATGCAATGGGGAGACGAATAGAGACTCACAAGTGCTCAGCCGTGGGCCCTGCACTCCCCATGGCATCTTCTTACCAGCCCCCCTCCCGTAACCAGCACCAGTAGCCGCGGCGGCAGTAGCAGCAGCAGCAGCAGCAGCAGCGTCAGCTAATGGGGAGACGAATAGAGACTCACAAGTGCTCAGCCGTGGGCCCTGCACTCCCCATGGCATCTTCTTACCAGCCCCCCTCCCCAAACCAGCAGTAGCCGTGGCGGCAGCAGCAGCAAGCCGGAAGAACAGATAGGGGGGACTCACATGTGTGCGCCTGTGGGTGCTGCACCCCCCATGGCAGTAGCACGCATGGCGCCAAATCCCACCTCCCTTGCCCTCACCAACGGGGAGAGGGACAGAGAGACTCGCATGTGTGCACCTGTGGGCGCTGCACCACCAGCGGCAGCAGCAGCAGCGGTGGCGGTGATGGCAGCAGTATCCGCCCCCCCCTATCGCAGCACCAATAAAAGTATCTCCTCACCTCAGCACCGCCCTCAAGCCCCCCCCTCCCCCCCCCCAGGCAGCAGAGAGACTCATATGTGTGCGCCTGTGGGCGCTGCACCACCAGCGGCAGCAGCAGCAGCGGTGGCGGTGATGGCAGCAGTATCCCCCCCCCCCCTATCGCAGCACCAATAAAAGTATCTCCTCACCTCAGCACCGCCCTCAAGCCCCCCCCTCCCCCCCCCCAGGCAGCAGAGAGACTCACATGTGTGCGCCTGTGGGTGCAGCACCACCACCAGCGGCAGCAGCAGCAGCAGCAGCAGCAGCAGCAGCAGCAGCAGCAGCAGCAGCAGCAGCAGCAGCAGCAGCAGCAGCAGCAGCAGCAGCAGCAGCAGCAGCAGCAGCAGCAGCAGCAGCACCAGCACCACCACCACCACCACCAGCAACAACAAAAAAGGCGTGGATTGGGGAGACGAAGACTCACATGTGTGCGCCTGTGGGTGCTGCACCACCAGCGGCAGCAGCAGCAGCGGTGGCGGAGATGGCAGCGGTATCCCCCCCCCCCCCCCCCCTATCGCAGCACCAATAAAAGTATCTCCTCACCTCAGCACCGCCCTCAAGCCCCCCCCTCCCCCCCCCCAGGCAGCAGAGAGACTCACATGTGTGCGCCTGTGGGCGCTGCACCACCAGCGGCAGCAGCAGCAGTGGTGGCGGTGATGGCAGCAGTATCCCCCCCCCCCTATCGCAGCACCAATAAAAGTATCTCCTCACCTCAGCACCGCCCTCAAGCCCCCCCCTCCCCCCCCCAGGCAGCAGAGAGACTCACATGTGTGCGCCTGTGGGTGCAGCACCACCACCAGCGGCAGCAGCAGCAGCAGCAGCAGCAGCAGCAGCAACAACAAAAAAGGCGTGGATTGGGGAGACGAAGACTCACATGTGTGCGCCTGTGGGTGCTGCACCACCAGCGGCAGCAGCAGCAGCGATGGCGGTGATGGCAGCAGTATCCCCCCCCCCCTTATCGCAGCACCAATAAAAGTATCTCATCACTTCAGCACCGCCCTCAAGCCCCCCCACCCCCCCCCCCCCCCCCAGGCAGCAGTGAGACTCACATGTGTGCGCCTGTGGGTGCAGCACCACCGGCGGCAGCAGCAGCAGCGGCGGCAGTGATGGCAGCAGCATGAGCTCTCGCTGCTGCCATTGCCATGTGCGCCCCTCGCCCTATGCCCATGCCTGCACCAGCACCAGCACCAGCACCAGCAGCACCGGCAACGCCACCGGAAGCACCAGCAGCAGCAGCGGCAGCACCACCAGAAACAGCAGCACTCGCAGCGGCTCCTGCTGTTAGTGCTGCTGCTCCGGCTGCTGCTGGTGGGGCGTCCGCAACAACCTGGTGGAAGTGGGTGGGATGCGGTGAGAGTGGGTTTTGCTATGTAAGAGATGGTGCAACAGGGCGATGCCGATGTTGCTACCCCGGCTGCTGCTGGTGGGGCGTCCGCTACAACCTGGTGGAAGTGGGTACAGGCCAACGCAGATCGGTGGAATGCGGTGACAGTGGGATTTTTATGTGTGAGAGGCCAAAGCAAATCGTCCTCCCCTCCTCCCTTCTTTTCAATCTCACAATTGCTCCTGCCTCTTTCTCAATCTCCTCTCACTGAATCCGTACCTTATCCCATTTGCTCCTCTTCCCGCCTCGTGTCAACCCATCCCCACCACCACCACCAGCACCCGTGCTTCCCCGCACAACCCCAGGAGCCGAACCCATTATTCCTGCTCCTGCTGTTGCTGCACCTCCTGCCGTCGCTGCCCCCATTGCTGCTGCCATTCCTGCTGTTGCTGCTCCTGCTGCTGCTGCGGCACCTGCTGCCAATGGTTGCCCAGGAAAAGCCGCTGCTCCTCCCGCTGCTGCTCCCACTGCATCGGGAATGGGTTGGTTTCCTGTTTTGGCAGAAGGGGGAACACATGAGAAAGACTTTTGAGACGCCTCAACACCGCTGCTGCACCCCCTGCCGCTCCTGCTGCCAATGGCGACCCAGGGACAGCCGCTGCTCCCACTGCATTAAGAATGGGTTGGACTCCTGATGTGGGAAACGGGGAATTCAGGGGAAAAGCGGGCAGACCAGGAAGAGGGCTTAGTATTTCGGGTATAGGAGGAGCAGAGGCGGGCTGCACCACAGTGGCCCTCGCTGGAACGTGGTGGAGAGGGGTGTAGAGCGGTGCACTCGTTTCAAAAAAACTTTACCTTTGGGCGGAGCAGCGATGAGCTGTAGCAATGTCCTCAATGTGGCAGAGAGCGGTGCAGTGAGATACAGAGGAAGGTGGATGACCTTTAGGAGGAACACCAATGAGCTGTACCACAGTGTTCCCAATGTGGCAGAGAGCGGTGCAGTGAGATACAGAGTGGGGTTGATGACCTTTTGGGAGCAGCAGCAATGAGCTTAACCACAATGCCGCCTCGCTGGAACTATCTGCCTGTTTCTTATGCCTCCTCATGTAGTGTGGCAGTGAGACACAGAGCGGTGCAGAGAGATGCAAAGTGGTGCAGTGGACTAATCAAACAAGGATAACCTTTACGAGAAGAAGAAATGAGTTGAACCACAGTGCCCCCTCGCTGGGATGTGGTAGAGAGCGGTGCAGAGTGGTGCATTACCTTTAGGGGGAGCAGCACTGAGCTGAACCACGGTTCCCCCTCGCTGGAACTCTATCTGCCCGCCACTCTGCCTCGACTCAACTGTCACTCCCCTCCAAAAAGTACCTTCATGCGGAGATGAGCTGTGTAGTGTGGCACAGAGTGGTGCAGAGCCGTGCAATACCTTTAGGAGGAGCAGCAATGAGCTGAACCACGGTCCCCCCTCGTTGAAACTCTATCTGCCCGCCCTTCTGCCTCCTCTCCTGCTCCTTTCGCTCCATCTCCCTCCTCTGCTCCGCCACTGCCGCATAGACCATGCACCATGACCAAATGCCCCGTGTATCATGCCCAAAAGCCCAAGTCATACATGCCACATCCCACACAGAACAAGGCACATGCCACATCCCACACAGAACAAGCCACATGCCACATCCCACACAGAGCAAGCCACATGCCACATCCCACACAGAACAAGCCAAATAACAAGAACAACCACAAGGCCATATGGCGACAGTAAGTAAGTACGGGGAGCCATGCGAGGACACATTGTATTCTGGATCTGAAAAAGATCACAAAAAATACAATACAACACAATGCAATACCTAGAGCTTTTCAAAAGCACATTCTTTTGAACCATCTCAAAAGCACATTCTGGTTAGAACAGCCCGAAGGGGCATCACTGAGTCAAGCATGAAAAGACATCATGAGCATAGCCAGGGAGTTTAGTACTTGGCGAGGAGAACAGGAATGTTGAAATCACTTCTGAGAATTCTCAAAAGCGAGGGAGTCATTCTTAGCACTTGGTTTGGTGAGGAGAACAGGATAGCCAACATACCAAGAGCGTCATAGTAGTCTAATCGGTCAAAGCCGTGGGGATTAAAGACGTCCTTAGAAAAGCAGGACCCGTGCTCGTCTATACCCTCATGCTTCACTACCTGTTGTGAGAGAGGGTGGGAAATCAACAGAAAGTGAGAGATTGGTAAACCAGCAAACAAACGAGAGAGTGGAGAACCAGTAGTGCATGAGAGGGAGGGTTTAAGGACAAACACTTTCTAGGCGCCTCAACATCGACTCAGTTTCTGAGGCGCTTCTACGATTGGGACAAGACAAACCAACAAATAAACGAAAGAGTGGCGAACCAGGCGTGCATGAGAGGGAGGGCAAAGGGACTATCAAAACCTGGGAGAGTGGAGAACGGATGCCATATCAAGCCCTAAGCCCATCCCCTTCCCTTCATGCCCGCACCTGCTGCTGCACGAAGCCCTCCCCTTTAAAATTCACCCCACCTGTTGCATGAAGTCACGGTTGCGGTAGCCCTTATAGTTGAGCAGCACTGATGGCCCTCCCACCCCTCCCACCCACCCCAACACACCCTCCCCATCCCCTTCCCCCACCACAATCACCCCACCTGTTGCATGAAGTCAGGGTTGCGGTAGCCCTTGGAGTTACGAAGAGCGTCGTTGATGCTCCTGCCGGCCCGTTTCAGCTCCAGATACCGGATAAACTTGGCCTGCCACCCATCACCACCAGTCACAACACGCCACGTGGCACATTCCATGCATTTTATACATGAATGGGCTCATTTTGAACGAGCAAAGCTGAGACCCAGAAAAATACTTCTTATTCAAACCGAATTTCACCTCACCAGATTCCTCCGAAATACCCCCCCCCCCCCTCCCAACCCCCACCCCCCCCCTCCCAACCAACCCACCCCCCCCTCTCCCTCCTTCCTTCCCTTCCTCCCCTCTTCCTTTAATTGCTCCGTTACACACCTGCAGTTGCTCTGAACATTTTTCTCGTGGTGGGGGCGGCAAAAACCCTCTCAACGCCTCCTCTACCTCCTCCTCCTCCCCTCCTTGCTCCCCCATACCCCCCTCTGCACCCCTCCCCCCATCCCCCCCTCCTCTCCTCTCCCCCTCCATCTCCCCCTCAACCCCCACTTCCTCCTGTATAGCCCCATTCACAGGGGGCGTCAGCTGTCCACGTGGCGCAATGCCATTGGCAGCTGCTAGGACCGCCACGTCACCGTCCAAAGAGCCAGGAGGGGGAGTGATCCGACCAGCCGTGCCTGTCCCCAAGCCTGTTACCGAGCCTGTCCCAGCGGTTCGGCCAGGAGTGGGCGTGGTTCGGCCAACAGGGGGAGAGAGGATATGCACCGACCCTGGGGTAGCACGATTGGGTGCTGCCGCGGGGGAGAGGGGCGGCGGGAGGGCGGGGGAAACGGGTGGGCGGAGGGGTAGGGGGGGGATGAAGGGGAAGGGGGGAGAGGGAGAAAGGAAAAGCGTGAGGGGAAGGGAAGGGCAGGAGGAAAGGGAAGGGGAAGGGGAGCGAAGAGAAGCGCAGAGAGCAACAAGTAAGTGAGGGAGTGGGAGAGGGGTGGGGAACGGGTCTGTGCGGGACGCAGTGTTGAGGAGAACGATTACGCAGCACAGCACAGGACAGGAGGGGTACAGGAAGCATCTGCAGGCAAGAAACAAGCTCTGAGGTATGGAAGCAGAGAGTCTAGTACCTTCTCGCTGCGCCCCCGCGCCTCCCCGCCGCTCATCCGCCTCCCCCTCCGCCTCCTGCGCGCACCTAAGCGGGGAGCGGAGCAGATGGCGGAAAGAGGGGAGGCGGAACGCACGCGCGGGGAGGAGAAGCGTGGCGGAAGAGCGCGGTTGGGGGAGAGGGGGAGGAGGGAACAAGCAGGGGGGTATGGGGGGAGAAGGGAGAGCAAAATGAGATCATGGGACTGCGAAACCCTAATGCAGATTGCGTGCCCTAAAAGTACACTATACTATGACAATCGTGTTTTTGAGACGTCTCAAAACAAGATTACGTGCCCTAAAGTACACTGACTAAGATAATCTCCTCAAATTCTTAAAACACGTAACCCTGATATGGACAGCCTGAATGACGATCCGCGGCTCGGCTACGAACGAAACGCTGCCCGCGACTTACCTCGTCGTCCCCCCCGTCATTTCCGAAACTGAATATCGAGGTGACTTTTTAAGTCGACTCAAAAGTCACCTCCGTAACCGAATATCAACCGCCCAAAGAAACAACCCTACCCATCAGAACCCTACCCGCGACTTACCTCGTCTTCCCCCGCGTCGTGTCCGTAACCGAAGATTCCCAACGCGCCTCCCCCAGCCTCCCGCGATCGCTCCGCCGCTTCTCCCGATCGCATCGCTCGCTCTCCCCCTTCCGCCGCGCCGTCATCCCCCGGACGGCCTCCTTCCGCTCCGCTTCCGCTTCCGCTCCGCCTTTCCGCCGACGCTCCCCCTTGCTGCGCCTCGGCTTCTTCTTCTTCCTCCTCTTCCTCCTCGTCTTCCATTTCGTCGTCATCGTCGTCTCCCGCATACATGGACAGCAGCGCGATTCCCTCCGTCTTATGCTTCTTCGGCTTCATCTTACAGACGCTGGAACAAGATAAGATACTATCGAACTGAAATACCTTAGAGAAAGATACTATCAAAAGTTACGCGACGACGCAAGGAAGATGAAACCTAAGCAAACAAGGACTGAGGGTGCATTCCTGCGGGGACACTTCTGTCTCGATCACTTTGTGACACGCGAAAACAGCATATACTGTACTGCGTCACAAACGCGGATCGCCCTAGTGCGATTTTTACTGTATTTTACATTGGTTGGCGTGAATTGCGCTGGCGTCGCGGACGAGTTACACGAGGCCCCGTCACACTCTGAAAATCGCACGCGGTTCGGAATGTCGTGCTGTACCGCATGCACCTGGACGCCCGAAGTGGTGTCATATTCGAGCGGGAAAAGAAATCGCCCTGCCCGGGCAGACCAATTTACAACTTCCGTCGCTGTGGCAAGCAAAATCGCCACTCGCTTCATGCACACTGTTTTGGCATCCTGCCCGGCGGGAAAACAGGTTGGCCCAATCCAATTGGTCGCAACCACTAAAACGCGTCCGTTTGTACCTGCCAATCAGTCGCCTTACGTCGCAGTACATTTGCCGTTTGTGACATAACATTTGGTAGATCTGCATGCGCGACTCGGGGAAAGGGGATTGAGATACAAGTGTCCCCACAGGAAACACCCTAAGTTGAGTGAGATCTAGGGATACGGTCTAGGATCTAGGATGAATGGAGGCGAGGCGAACAGTGCGAGGTCACTCTAATTCGGTTCGGTGAGATTCGTTTCGCCGCAAAGTGGTTACATGCTGTACATAATGATAAAAGTAATAGAAATACTCTACAGTTCAGCGTTTATACAGAGGTTTGAGCGAAGTTGAAGATACCTTAAATGCATTGGAGAAAGTAGTGATGGAAAGCAGAAAGCAGAAAAAGAGTGCAGTTGATTTTGATAGAAAGTGCTTGCATCTCTAACAAGCTTGTCCCTCATACATGAGCAACCCTCAAAACAATGCCTACACTTCTTTGCTACATAAACAAAACAAAACAAAACCAAAACAAATACTGTACCAAAAAAAACGTTTAGATCACCACTTCCCATACAGGCACCCCCCCATCTATCCGCTTCTTTATCGCCTCCTGGCTCTCCACCCCATCCAACGAGTCCAACCCAAATATTGGCTTCAACAATCCAACCTGGTTACCAGCACCACCAGCCGTAACATCCCCACCTGTATCTGTATTAGCCGCGTTGCCTGACTGATTCTGCAGACTGTGGCAACTGCAGTGGTTGCTCGTTTCCCTGCCATTGCAGCAGCCCTCCCTCCCAAATCTTCCGTTTGCATCCCTCCCAATGCTACCATTCACTTCCCTCCCACTCCCACTATTCCCATTCCCCGCCTCCCTCCCACTGCCCCCATTATCCATCTCTCTCCCACTCCCCAGCTCCCTGCCGCTGCTGCTGAGCGAGACTCGCCGCCCATTGACCAGCATGGAGCGCGCGCGTGTCAGATGCTCATTGGCTGTGATGCCACGTGAGTCTCTCTGCACCAATGAGAGGTAGGGCCCTGACGCCAGGAAGGCCTTCATCCTGCCATCACCAACAGATCAAATTAGGGACAGAAGTTGGGATAAAGATGCGCACACGTGTCAGAAGCTCATTGACTGTCGTCTCATGTGAGTCACTCTGAACCAATGAGACGTCGGTCGTCCATCTGCCATCAACAAGTGGACAAACGTGGAAAAGAAAGTGGAAGAATGAAATCAACATACGTCAGATGCTGATTGGCTGGTACGTCAGAAGGGTACATGGGAAACACACTCCTCCAGCTTTCCACGACTGTACCGCAATCACTTTGAGCCAGCTGTAAGGCTCAACTGAGGTGCAGCGAACACTGGAAGCCACCAGAGTAAGAGGAAGGACGTTTGAAGGGTATTTCATGAAAGCATACTATACGTGCGGTGAAAAGAAGCGTGCCGCTCACCTCTCTGACACGGGATTGGCCTGCTCCTCAGCAGTCCAAGTGATGACTCTCACAGAGGGACTCCTCGGGGAGGTGGTATCTAGCGTGCTGCTGGGGGAGGCGGTATCTGAGTTGGTGCCAGAAGAGGCCTTTTCTGAGGGGACGACGGGGGAGGTGGCATCTGGCGTGCTGGTGGCACCGTTGGTGGTGTTGGTTGCCTCATTTGTGGTTGGCAACGCGAGCCGCAGCCCCTGAGGTGGTAACACCGGGAAAGAGAGGGTGGCAATCAAAGGACAAGACGAGATTTATAGTGGCAAGCGACATGACAACAAGGGAAGAATCTGCACTAGAACGTGGGAGCATGGGCAAGAGTCACACGACCCTCAAGGTGCCTTCCAACTCGCCTCGAGGAGAGTGAGGCCATGAAAAGCGCCCAATGTGTTTTATGGTAATTAACCAAAAAAAAAACTGAAACAACGAATTCTACAACAAAGATAATATATATATATATATATATATATACATACATATATCACCTCGAGGAGAGCGAGGGCATAAAAGCGCCCATCTTCAAAGGCCCTTTGCATGGAAGGTGAAATCTGGAGAGATGAGCTTCTAAGTCGGATTTTGACTCAAGCCTCGTCTATTGCTTGGAAGGTGAAATTTGGACAAACGAACAAAACCGGAGTGGAAGCTGGTCGGATGAAGATTGAGAAAAGGAGGACAGAGGAAAGAGGAGATTGGAGGAGACTGATCGAGAGAGGAGAGAGGAGAGAGCAGGGGAGGAGAGAAAAGGGGGCCTCGATACTCACAGCACACTGAATGGTGTGTGACACGTCAGCAAGGGACTTCGCCAACACATCGGTTTCCATGTCACGCACCAGCACTCGAAACCGCGCCTCCACCTTGGGATGGTCATGGGGATGGGCATGTGGATAAGGGTGGGCATGGGGATGGGGATGGGGGAGGTGCAAGCATGCATGCCTACAATACGATAATCAGAGGCTTCACGCACCCACATGATGTCTCACCAACTAGAACCCACCTGTGGGCGTACATGACCGCATTGGGAAGTGCAGGGGACGATTCACCAGAGGGCCTATAGCAGAGGCTTCGAAGACTCACCTGCGGGTTGAGGAAGCGGTTCCCAGTGGGCGCGTACATGACTGCACTGTGGAAGCGCCAGGGAGGGGACTCACAGCATACAGCTAGGTGGCCTCTATTTACTCTCCCAGGGGCTGGCACCCTCACATAACATTTCAACAACTCACCTGCGGGTTGAGGAAGCGGTTGCCAGTGGGCGCGTACATGACTGCATTGTGCAAGTGCGCACTAAAACCTCACAGCTTACGGCTAGGTGGCCCCAGAGGCTGACCCCATTGTGCAACTTCTTCTCACCAACCACCACTCACCTGTGGGTTGAGGAAGCAGTTGCCAGTGGGGGCGTACATGACCGCATTGTGCAAGTGAACTCTCTGCATATGGCAAGGTGACTTTCACCGACTCACATAACAGTGGCTGCCCCTCCTATAAAAGTCTCACCCACTCACCTGAGGGTTGACAAAGCAGTTGCCACTGGGTGCTTACATGACCGCATTGTGCAAGTGAGCGTTACGGGGACTCATGACATACGGGCTAGGTGGCAATCAGTCACTCTCCAGAGGCTGGCCCTCAGATAACGTCTCATTGGTAGAGACTCACCTGTGGATTAAGGAAGCGGTTGCCAGTGGGGGCGTACATGACTGCGTTGTGGAAGTGCAGGGGGCGGTTCACCACTGCGTCAAACTCGCCCTCCTGTGCCTGATATGAGCCACGGGAAAGCAGAGATGCAGCGTGAGGCATGGGGATAGATACACGTGGCATGTGCCACGTGTCATGTGGAAGTGCAGGGGCGGTTCACCACTGCATCAAAGTCGCCCTCCTGTGCCTGGTGTGAGGCACGGGGAAAGAGGGGAGTGGTGAGCGGCGTGTGAAGCGTGGAACGAGTGACGTGGGGCGCGTGTCGTGGGGGCCGGTTCACCACTGTGTCTAACTCGCCATACTGTGCCTGCATTGGGTGCGTTGTGGGGCGCGGGGGGCATGTCGTTGAGGCGTATGGTATGAGGTATGTGGTGTAGGGCGTGAGGAAAGAGGCATGTAATGTATGACTCGTGTCCCATGTTTTCTTTTCACCACGCGAAATGATTTTCTAAAGAGACGATATGCCTCACCATGCGGTACAGCAAGTTGCCGAATTCGATTGCAACCCCCAGCCCTGGCATGTGCTGGCCTGGCAGTAGCGTCTCTGGCGAGAGTGGGGAAAGTGGGAGAGCGGGGGAGGGAGAGGAGAGAAGGAGAGAGAGAAGGACAGATGAGGGCAATAGGGACTCGAAAGCAGGCCCCAGCCCTGGCATGTGCTGGCCTGGCAATAGGGTCTCTGGGAAAGAACAGGAGGGGAGGGAAGGAGAGGGGAAGGAAAAGGGAGAGGGGAGGAGCGAAGGGGGAGGGAAAAGGAGGAGACAGAAAGTAGTGGAATTTTGAATAATAAGTCAAGCTTGAACGGAGCTCATCTCACCATCGCAGGGAGGCTTTTGAGTCGACTCAAAAGTCACCTCGTTACAATGGCACACGACACGCCTTCACCTCACCATCACACAGGGCAAACGGGACATCTTGTTCCCTGCTCTCATCTCACCATCGCAGGGAGCAAGAGGGTCTTGCAGCAGAAGCCAGTCCACGAGGAGAAGCTTGAGAGGATGGTACTCGCCCAGCCCACTCTCCCACGCCTTGAGCACTGCTGCCCCCTCGCCTATCACCTCGCTGGGCCGCACTGCCTGTGGGGAAGGCGTGGATAGGATGGGCAATAAGAGTCACGCACGCACAAAAAAGCCTCAGCAGCAGCTTGAGCGGATGGTACTCGGCCAATGCGCCCTTCCACGCCTTGAGCACTGCTGCCCCCTCTCCTATCACCTCGCTTGGCCGCACAGCCTGTGAGGAATGGGGAGGGTTTGGAAGGAGAAAAGGAAGCAGGAAGTAGAGCAAAGAAAAATCGCTTTTGGGAAGATGAAGAAATATGCTAAGCCGCATGCAACTGGCTGTCAAATGCTCGAATGCAGCATGGAGAAAGCATGGGGTATGCATGGATGGAAACCAAAGCACTCACATGCAGCAGCATGGGGTATGCAAGTACGGAAACGAGCACTCACATGCAGAAGGGAAGTGGAGGTGAGGATTCGCAGGGCACACTCGCACAGCGGCTCTGGGGCTGCTGGGGTGGTCCAGAGCATCTGACAGGGGGGAGATAAGGGGGGAAGTTGGAAGGGCGTGAGTGAAAGGGAGTGGTAGCAGGGAAGAGGATGTGCGGGTTTGCAGGGTACAGTCGCTCACAGTGCCCCTGGGGCTACTGGGGTGGTACAGAGCATCTGACAGACAGGGGGGAGAAGGTTCAAAGGGCATGAAGTGAGGGAGGGTTTTGAATGGCACGATTGGAAAAGTGGACGCGAGGATTTGCAGTGCGCATTCGCAGAGGGGCTTCAGGGCTAAGTGTGCATACGCATGTGACAATTGGTTTAGCCTACCCAACCCACCTTGTGCCAACCCAATTGGTCTGTGAGGCCCAGCTTTATGCTCACCGCGTGGTGCCATGTGTCTAGTGCTACATACATGCTGTCAGCCACCGTACCTGGTGCTGCTTGGGTCGTCCCATTCAGCATATCATGTGTCCCTTTCTACCCACCTTATGCACGAAGAGGCCTGTGAGATCCAGCTTTATGCTCACTGCGTGATGGCCCCTTTTCCTCAGCTTCGCCCTTTCTGCCTGGCTAGGACCACTCAACATACCCTATGTTGCCTGGCAGGGCCCCCACGTACCTTATGCACGAAGGGGTCTGTGAGATCCAGCTCTATGTTCACCGCGTGGTGCCCTCTCTTCCTCAGCTTCGCCATCACCCCCAGCTCCTGTAACATAGTCTCCATGTCGGGTAGACTGCAAGAAAGCGGAGAGAGGGACAGAAGGGGAGAGACACACATGAGCAGGAGCAGAGCAGGTGGTCATGCACCTGTACTTGTCAAGGAATTTCCCCCAGCTGGAGTGAGCCGTGTGGATGGAGGAGACGAGATGAGGAACACACAACAGCAGCACGCGCGCGCATGCACACTCGCATCGCATACCCACACCCCATCCGCACCTGTACTTATTGAGGAATTTCCCCGAGCTGGAGTGCTGCATGTGGATGGACAAGATAAGATGCGGAGCACACAGCAGCAGCATCCACACCCATGCAGGCACACATACACTCGTACCAACCGCACCTGTACTTGCCTGTGCTGTGAGCCCACCTGTACTTATTGAGAAATTTCCCCGAGCTGGAGTGCTGCATGTGGATGGACGAGATGAGATGAGAAGCACACAGCAGCAGCATGCAACAGTCGCACTCCCACACCGCTCCCACCTTTACTTATCAAGGAATTTCCCTGAGCTGGAGTGAGCCGTGTGGATGGAGGAGATGTCATCGCTGCTGAACTCCGCCCTGCCACCGCGTGTGCCATGCACGCACACACAAACACACACTCCATCCGCCTCAACAATCTGTGCCACGCGCCCACCTGTACTTGTCCAGGAATTTCCCCGAGCTGGAGTGCGCCGTGTGGATGGAGGAGATGTCATCGCTGCTGAACTCGATGTCAAACCCCTTGTCGTCCTTGCGCTTCCCGAACATCATCTCCGCTTTGCCTTGCTTTCCTCTTCGCCTGTGCCGTTCTGCCTGCCTCCCTGCTTGCCTTTCTGCCTGCAACTTTACGTGCCTGCCTCTCTGCTTGCCCGCCTGCCCGCCTGTCTTGTTTGACTGCTGTTCCCACCGGTTTCAAGCCAGTTTCCTGCGTTCACCAGCTGCTACCGCCTACTGTCCCCACCAGCTTAAGCAATTTCCTGCTTGCAGCTGCTTCCACCAGTTTCATTGGTTGTCTTGGCATTTAGCTGCTGCCAAACTATTGACAACCGCTCTCGACTCCTTTCAACTGATTACACCTGCTCACACCGTTTGCTGCTCGCAGCGTTCAGACTGTGTCACGTCCGAATAAATAACTCACGAGTGCTGTCCGGTCCAGAGTGCGAACCAAAATGTGATTCAGAGCTTAACCCGAAAAATGCAAACGAATGCTAGCGAATGATCTAAACACAGTGAGTGCTTATATAGATACCCAAGCCTTTAATGTTCTCAATGCACGACCTTGACGATAGAGAAACGGGGAATGATGAGGTGGGAAGGCACGAAACAAAGGTCGAATTGCGAAGCTGTAAGTCAGATTCGGATCCCTAAGGAGCGGGAAACTTCGACGGGAATGTAGAAATCGCATGTAATGGAAGACGCAGGTTGTTAACCTTCCGACAATGACTCAGCGTGTGATTCTGTCACGGTAGCGAGCTCACAGAACAAAGTAAATCTTCAGTGAAGTGACAATGGAATGAAATTGCACATTCCACCAATGCCGTTGTGATAAACCGGTCGGCAATGACAGCTATCTGAACGAAACGGTAGATTTAAACAGCAGAGAGCTACTCGTGTGAGATACTCCGATACTTTTCGTGAGTCTAGAGAGGTTGCCAGTCGTCCCTACTACCACACCGCCTAACACTCTCGGTTTCAGAACAACGGGATCCAAAAGTTTCGGATTCACTACAGAATTCCCACTTATCTCTCTGCTACGCTCGATTGTCGTCCCTAAAACTCAAAGCTCGCTGGATTGTTTTTGCTGCTGCATTGCTGCTTGGTGTGTGCATAGCTTCTTCGTGTCACGCCTTGCGTCACACAAATCTCCCTGCCTGATGGTTCTTCTGCTGGGAGCCAGTTAGGGAGAAGGTTGGTGGTGCTCAGGGGAGAGATTCGCAGAGTCTTTGGTCTTAGCGCGTATTCTGATGTTAGCGGGTTAGCCTTCATCCTTGAGTAACCATTATTCCTTCGTGATTGACGAGATGGAAGAGTGTGGTATTGAGTTCAAAAGAGCCTATCACGAAGATTTACGAAAAGGCGAGCAGTGAATCGCGTTTCCACGCTGACTGGAGAAAGGGAGCAAGTGAGGACGCGTCAACTCCCAGCAATGTATCAGGATCGAGGCAAGCTCGGCAGTGCACACCGATCTTGGCAGGATCGATGTGCACACCGGTGTGCTCCACCTGCAAATCGGCAGTGTACCCCTACCATCGAGCCACACTTGACTAGGGTATTTGCAGGTTCGGGGTGCTGGTTGGCCTGCCGCATGCTGCAATTCCGCCTTCGCAGGGTGTCGCAAAGTGTGTTTCCCAACAGTGTCTGTGCGACTTGACTTGGGCTGACCACAGTGGCTTGAACACAACCACCTTCCAGCTGTTGCACAGGGTGGCAGGTTTTGTCGTCGCTGCGACTCTGGCATGTGTCGTTCGGAACCATGTGCGACGCCGATCGATCGCGGCTGTCAACTAGCGCGCGATGGTAGCTCCTGCTCACCAAAATGCCACGATCGGTGTGTGGCAGGTGGCAAGGTGTCCCGAGATCCGGAAAGGACATCGGGAGTGTTGGCCGGTTTACTGTGCAATGGCGAAACCTGACGAAAACTGGCAACAAGACACTTCGTTAGCTCGTGAATGTACTGTATATATGGCACATCGATCCTACGGAGGATCGATGTGCCCAAAGTGCTGGGAGTTGACGCGTCCTGACTGTCACAACTACGTTACAAGATTTTCCGACATCCCGAGACCCCGTTCTTGAAAGCAGGGAGTGCGTCATATGTGGAAGGCTGGTAGGAAGCATCTGGGGGGTTGCATGACGTCAAGGACACGAGCTGACGTGGCGGAGTACGCCACGGTTGGCGGGAATGTCTGACAGAAATTCGCTTTTAGGAAGTCCGATACCAGAGTCACTCCATGGAACTAACCTCCTCTGTACACTAAAGTCAATGAGCTGAGCTAATCACATCCTGCCAAATCCCTAACCAAGTTTCCTGACCACACGATAGCTCCGCCCTGCCATATGTAGCGAACATTTTTTTCTCTTTTGATTTTCGAACCTAGCACATTACAGGGACGTCGTTAGCGTATGAGGCAAAATACGTTGACGAGGGATTCGGTGCTGCCGCCAACGGCACCAGCCAAAAATCAAAGGCGAGATGAAGGTGACACATTCCCGCTCCGACTGATCTCAACCACAACCTGCAAAGAAAATAATCGGCCAAGTGGAGGATATAACACAAAGGCCGGGATTGAAAAGACATACTCCGAATAACAAGGGGTATATCCCAAAACACCCTATGGGATTTACATCCAAGCCCACCTAATTCCCACCCACCTTGCCCACGCTGCTCCCAGCTTGCAAGTGCTCCACTGCTGACGTCACTGCAGGAAGTCCCTTGAACGGCGTCGGATCGAGGGCCACCTGCGATGATTGGGGGAAGAAGGATTTGAGACGCCTCAGAACTAGATGATAGACGGACGGAAAGGGGGAGAGAGACGAGGGCACAGTGTATGGGGTGGGAGGAAATATAATATCTTAGAACCCGGAAAAAGCATAACACGAGAGAGAGGAAGAGGGCAGTGAGCTTAGAGCAAAGAAAATCAGCCCTTATCACCTCCGCTACTGCCACGCTACCTCCATGCCCTCTCTCTCCACCCCACCTTGAGCAAGCCTGCTTGGTACAGGGTCACCAGCTTGGTGAAATGCGAGAGCCTCAGTTGCGGGTAGTGTAGCAGGAGAAAGAAAGGCAGCTTCTTTCCTGCCTATCACCTGTAGCAAGCCCCAGGTCCCCTCTGTCACTCCATCCCACCTTGAGCAGGCCTGCTTGGTACAGGGTGACCAGCTTGGTGAAGGGCGAGCGCCACGGCTGGTCTCCTCCCTTCTCACGTGTTGCACGCCTAAACCCCACCCACACTGCCTACCTATCACTCCATCCCACCTTGAGCAGGCCTGCTTGGTACAGGGTGACCAGCTTGGTGAAATGGGAGCGCCACAGTTGCGGGTAGTGCAGCAAGAAGAACCCGACCTTGTAATGTGGGAGGTGAACGGAAGCATGGAGAAGGGTAAAGATATAATTGCGCAAAAAAAAGAAGGGCGAGAAAATTCCACAGATGGGAGGAAGACGGAGCACGGCAAGAGGGAGAATGAACCAACGTGCAGGAGGGAGGAGGCGGGCCAACACCGGCAAAGGGAGCAGAGAAAGGGAGAAGAGAGATTGACAAAAAGGGCCAACACAGCAGCAGCAAGCTTTGCTCCATTTGACAAGAAGGCGGCGTTTGATAAGAGATTGAAAGGTGTGCTTTCAGTCCATTTGATGGTGCTTTGAGGTGCAACAAGAGGTGCTCCGGAAGGGAGGCTTGAAACCGTGGCCGTGTGTACAAGGTTGTGAAAGGGGGGTTTACGTGAGTGTGTACAAGGTTGTGAAAGGGGGGTTTACGTGTAGAAAGTGAATTTTTGAGACGTCTAAAAAAAACACTTTTTACATCTGGGTCGGTGTGGAAAAAGGGGCAAAATTTTTGAAAGGGTTCACCCGAAGTTGAAGAAGAAAGAAGAAGAAAGAGAAGATCGGATAGAGAAGCTTGGCTGAAACCAAACAAGGCCGGATGGTGAGCAGAATCCAGCTTTGCACGTTAAACCGAGAGATGAAGTTTTCATGTAAACTGCCAAACACATAAACCCGCAAGCCCATAGATTCCAATCCAATACATACCAGCGTCTGGGAGTTGGAGAGCAGGCGCTCACAAAGACCAGGATAAGCCTTGCTCACCCACTGCCCCTCCTGCCCTGCCGTGTACTGCATGAGGAGGGTAGGAGGGGCACGCAGGTAGGTGTAGAAAGCGGACAATCAGCTAATGTTCTCTTCATTCATTCACTAGGCTGCTGCCGACACAACATGTTGGGTTGCCATCCCGGTGCAGCATGCCAGCTGGTTAGGGATTCACACGAGTGAGTGAGATGGGAATGGTATGAATAAATCACGAGAAACAAAAGAGCAACAAAGATGCTAATACTGCACCACATACAACCAGCCATGACTCGTGGCATTTCAAAGTAATATTTTACAAGCTCCCTATGCATGAGTTCTGATTACTGAATGACTTTCTGTCTAACTGGGCAGCTTTTCACACATCTTTCCCTCCACACTTCTCACACATACCTGTGACATCATGCCAATCACAATGAGCCTCCCAAATCGGCCAAGCGCCTTCAGTGCAGCAGCAAACATATCGCCCCCCACAGACTCAAACACCACTGCTGCTCCCTGTGGCCCACAGGCCTGCTTCAGTGCCTGGTGCGGAAGGGGGAGAGGGAGGAGGGGAGAGAGAGGAGAATGGAAATTGAGGGATGAATTGACCAGACTTGTATTGCGTTCTTTGCAGCAAAACTATTGGCCCCCCACTGACTAACACCACTGCTGCTCCCTGTGGTCAAGAGGCTTGCTTCAGTGCCTGGTGCGGAAGGGGGAGAGGGAGGAGGGATAAAAAATTCAAAGGGAAAGGGAAAAGAGTGGAGGGACAAAAAAAAACACACACCAAAAAAACAGACAAACAGACAAAAACAAGGAGACTGGAAAACGACAAGCCCACTCAGACATTAGGAAACAAACAATGTTGCTTTAAAATCCACTCACCCTGGCCATATCCTTTCCTGTGCGGTGGTTAACCACCACATCCGCCCCAGGTCCCCCAACACTGCACCTGCTCTGCCTTGTGAAATCTGATTGCAATATCACGCTGTCTCACTTGGCCACATCCGTTTCTCTTCGGTGGATAACCACCCAGCGAATGATTTAGGCAGCCCAAATTAGACTCACTCACCTTGGCCATATCCGTTTCTGTGCGGTGGTTAACCACCACATCCGCTCCAAGGTCCCTCAGCACGGCTGCCTTGCTCTCACTGCCGCATGTCGCCACCACCCTGTTCCCTGCCAGCTTTGCCAACTGGCAAGTAAGGTGGGGAGATAGGAGAGGGAAAGAGGGGGTGGGTTCATGGAACTGAGTAAAGAAAGGAGAAAGTGGAGGGGGATATGATCATCAACGCTACTGCTTTGCTCTCACTGCCGCATGCTGCCACCACCCTGTTGCCTGCCAGCTTCGCCAGCTGGCGCATATAGAGTGGGGGAGGTGGAGTGAGATTAATGGATTGAGTAGCGACAGGGGGGGCCACAGGCCAACTGAACCGACTGCCGCAGTGAAAGGGAAAACGGGGACTATCTTGGAATTCTTACAGACAGCAGCAAATGATGCCATGATGTGAAAGGATAGAAAACAGTTCTCTCCCGAATCCTTTTGAGTCGACTCAAAAGCAATCCCGACTCCTTGCTGATCACTGCTCACTACTCTCAGCAGCTGCTCACTGCTCACTACTCTCAGCAGCTGCTCACTGCTCACTACTCTCAGCAGCTGCTCACTGCTCACTACTCACAGCAGCTGCTCACTGCTCCCGACTCCTTGCTGATCACTGCTCACTGCGGATTACCGCCGCTAGATGCTCGCTGCTCACCACTAGATGCTCACTGCTCACTACTCTCAGCAGCAGCTCACACACCCCTCCACCACTGCTGTTCTCGTCTCTCACCTCACATTGCGATATTCCTTATGCCTCCTGCGCCCTTATCTCACCTGCACTGCAAACTGGCCCGTCCCTCCAGCTGCTGCCGTCACCAGGACCGTCTCACCACTGCCCATACGCCCAGACTGGACGAGGGATGTAAAAGGGGAAAAAGGGGGGAATGAGTTTTGAAACACCTCAAAAGAGGGGTGCACAGGAGGGATGAACTCCTGCTGCTGCTGTCACCGCACTCACTGTCTCGCCACTGCCCACGCCGCCAAACTGAGAGGAGGAATGGAAATCGGAAGAGAGGGGGAACGGGAACAGAAGCGAGGCAGAGACATCAACTCTGACTGTTGCTGTCACACCACTGTCTCGCCACTGCCCTTGCAGCCAGACTGTGACGAAAGTTGTGGAAGGAAATAGAGAGACGTGGCAAAGGCATCACTGCTGTTGCTGGTCACGTCATCAGCGAAAGGGAGAAACTGTGCTGATGCCAGCAGCGCAGTTTCCCCTTTGGCCATCCCAAGTAGGCAGAGCACCAGCAACTGCTGTGCTGAGTATTCCTCCACACCAGCAACTGCTGTGCTGAGTATTCCTCCACACCAGCAACTGCTGTGCTGAGTATTCCTCCACACCAGCAACTGCTGTGCTGAGTATTCCTCCACACCAGCAACTGCTGTGCTGAGTATTCCTCCACACCAGCAACTGCTGTGCTGAGTATTCCTCCACACCAGCAACTGCTGTGCTGAGTATTCCTCCACACCAGCAACTGCTGTGCTGAGTATTCCTCCACACCAGCAACTGCTGTGCTGAGTATTCCTCCACACCAGCAACTGCTGTGCTGAGTATTCCTCCACACCAGCAACTGCTGTGCTGAGTATTCCTCCACACCAGCAACTGCTGTGCTCTGTATTCCTCCACACCAGCAACTGCTGTGCTGAGTATTCCTCCACACCAGCAACTGCTGTGCTGAGTATTCCTCCACACCAGCAACTGCTGTGCTGAGTATTCCTCCACACCAGCAACTGCTGTGCTGAGTATTCCTCCACAGCACTATGCACAGGGGAAGCAGTGACAGTGCTGTTAGTTACACGGCACTGCTCCAAATAAAGCGGAGGAAGCAGTGACAGTGCTGTTAGTTACACGGCACTGCTCCAAATAAAGCGGAGGAAGCAGTGACAGTGCTGTTAGTTACACGGCACTGCTCCAAATAAAGCGGAGGAAGCAGTGACAGTGCTGTTAGTTACACGGCACTGCTCCAAATAAAGCGGAGGAAGCAGTGACAGTGCTGTTAGTTACACGGCACTGCTCCAAATAAAGCGGAGGAAGCAGTGACAGTGCTGTTAGTTACACGGCACTGCTCCAAATAAAGCGGAGGAAGCAGTGACAGTGCTGTTAGTTACACGGCACTGCTCCAAATAAAGCGGAGGAAGCAGTGACAGTGCTGTTAGTTACACGGCACTGCTCCAAATAAAGCGGAGGAAGCAGTGACAGTGCTGTTAGTTACACGGCACTGCTCCAAATAAAGCGGAGGAAGCAGTGACAGTGCTGTTAGTTACACAGCACTGCTCCAAATAAAGCGGAAGAAGCAGTGACAGTGCTGTTAGTTACACGGCACTGCTCCAAATAAAGCGGAGGAAGCAGTGACAGTGCTGTTAGTTACACGGCACTGCTCCAAATAAAGCGGAGGAAGCAGTGACAGTGCTGTTAGTTACACGGCACTGCTCCAAATAAAGCGGAGGAAGCAGTGACAGTGCTGTTAGTTACACGGCACTGCTCCAAATAAAGCGGAGGAAGCAGTGACAGTGCTGTTAGTTACACGGCACTGCTCCAAATAAAGCGGAGGAAGCAGTGACAGTGCTGTTAGTTACACGGCACTGCTCCAAATAAAGCGGAGGAAGCAGTGACAGTGCTGTTAGTTACACGGCACTGCTCCAAATAAAGCGGAGGAAGCAGTGACAGTGCTGTTAGTTACACGGCACTGCTCCAAATAAAGCGGAGGAAGCAGTGACAGTGCTGTTAGTTACACGGCACTGCTCCAAATAAAGCGGAGGAAGCAGTGACAGTGCTGTTAGTTACACGGCACTGCTCCAAATAAAGCGGAGGAAGCAGTGACAGTGCTGTTAGTTACACGGCACTGCTCCAAATAAAGCGGAGGAAGCAGTGACAGTGCTGTTAGTTACACGGCACTGCTCCAAATAAAGCGGAGGAAGCAGTGACAGTGCTGTTAGTTACACGGCACTGCTCCAAATAAAGTGGAGGAAGCAGTGACGCCACTAATTAATTTGCAGAGCCACCATATGAGGCGAGCAGTCAGACACGAGAATGACTATCGAGCATCCACGAGCATGCCTGACCCAAACTACATGCACGAGGGTGTGCGTGCACACCCAAACTACCATTACATGCACGTGGGTGTGCGTGCACACCCAAACTACCATTACATGCACGTGGGTGTGCGTGCACACCCAAACTACCATTACATGCACGTGGGTGTGCGTGCACACCCAAATTACCATTGCAGTTGGGCACGGGAATGACCCATCGTGCATCCACCAGCATGTACTCACTTTTGAGGCGCCTCAAAAGACACCAGCATGTACTCAGCGAATGCACCATACGCATATGCAGGACCATGGCAGTCAATGCCTGCCCCAGTGGGGAAACGAGGTGCATACCTCGGATAGAGCGATGGAGGCAGTGAGGCCACTGGTCAGCAGCGCCACCATTTGCGGGGAACAGTCAGGTACAGGGATCACCCATTCAGTATCCACAAGCATGAATTCAGCAAATGCACATCACAGTGAATCCCTTCCCCAGCGTACCTCGGATAGAGCGATGGAGGCAGTGAGGCCGCTGTTCAGCAGCGCCACCATTTGTGGGGAACAGTCAAGCACAGGAATCACCCATTCAGTATCCACAAGCATGAATTCAGCAAATGCACATCACAGTGAATCCCTTCCCCAGCGTACCTCGGATAGAGCGATGGAGGCAGTGAGGCCGCTGTTCAGAAGCGCCACCATTTGTGGGGAACAGTCAAGCACAGGAATCACCCATTCAGTATCCACAAGCATGAATTCAGCAAATGCACATCACAGTGAATCCCTTCCCCAGCGTACCTCGGATAGAGCGATGGAGGCAGTGAGGCCGCTGTTCAGCAGCGCCACCATTTGTGGGGAACAGTCAAGCACAGGAATCACCCATTCAGTATCCACAAGCATGAATTCAGCAAATGCACATCACAGTGAATCCCTTCCCCAGCGTACCTCGGATAGAGCGATGGAGGCAGTGAGGCCGCTGTTCAGCAGCGCCACCATTTGTGGGGAACAGTCAAGCACAGGAATCACCCATTCAGTATCCACAAGCATGAATTCAGCAAATGCACATCACAGTGAATCCCTTCCCCAGCGTACCTCGGATAGAGCGATGGAGGCAGTGAGGCCGCTGTTCAGCAGCGCCACCATTTGTGGGGAACAGTCAAGCACAGGAATCACCCATTCAGTATCCACAAGCATGAATTCAGCAAATGCACATCACAGTGAATCCCTTCCCCAGCGTACCTCGGATAGAGCGATGGAGGCAGTGAGACCGCTGGTCAGCAGCGCCACCATTTGAGGCGAGCAGTCGGGCACAGGGATCAAACATCGAGCATCCACCAACATGTACTCAGTGAATGCACCACACGCATGTCCAAGTTTATGGCAGTCAATGCCTGCTCCGCCGGGGAAAAGGAGGTGCATACCTCGGATAGAGCGATGGAGGCGGTGAGTCCACTGGTCAACAGAGACACCATTTGCGGGGAACAGGTGCGAATGGACCACCCATCGAGCATTCACAAAGTGTATGTGGTCAACTAATGCACCTGAGAACAAATCCCCCCCCCCCCAAGGGAGGTGCATACCTCGGATAGGGCGATGGAGGCAGTGAGCCCACTGGTCAACAGAGCCACCATTTGCCGGGAACAGTCGGGCACAGGAATGATCCATCGTGCATCCACCAGCATGTACTCAGCGAATGCACCATACGTGCACATGCAAAGGGGTTCCTTCCTTCCCCACCAGCGTACCTCGGACAAGGCGATTGAAGCAGTGAGGGCACTGGTCAATAAAGCCACCATTTGCGGGGAACAGTCAGGTACAGGAATCACCCATCGGGCATCCACAAGCATGTACTCAGCGAATGCACCATACGCCAGCGCTGCTGCTGCCTGCCCCACTGCCAGCCTCCCTGCCAGCCCCCCTTTGCTCCCCCGTGCCATAGATCCTAGACCCTCGTTGGGCTGTGTGCTGCCTGGTAGTGCGACAATCTCCCCCACTGCTTCGAAGCCTGCGTTGAAGGGAAGCTGCTGGGATGCTTCCGCCGGGCTGCCTGCGTAGCGGCCGGCTGAGTAGTTGACCTGAGGATTGGTGGGGTTGATGGGGAGAAAGTGGGAGCGATGACAGGAGAAAAGGTGTGGGTTGGCGTGTGATGAAGGAAATAAATGGCAGCAGCACCTTCCCGGCGCGTTCAGCAGCAGCAGCAGCAGCAGTAGAGTTAGTCACATTACTGGCGCTGACTCCTGCGTATCGCACTGGCAGCAGCACCTTCCCTGCCGGCATCGTTAGCGGCGACAGCAGTGGCGGCGGCGGCAGCAGCAGCAGCAGCAGCAGCAGCAGCAGCAGCAGCAGCAGCAGCAGCAGCAGCAGCAGCAGCAGCAGCAGCAGCAGCAGCAGCAGCAGCAGCAGCAGCAGCAGCAGCAGCAGCAGCAGCAGCAGTGACAGCAGCAGCGGCAGCAGCAGCGGCAGGGGCAGCAGCAGGGGCAGGGGCAGCAGCAGGGGCAGTGGCAGCAACACTGGCACAGCAAGCAAGCAGCACTCACATCGCTGGCGTTCACTCCTGCGTATCGAACTCGCAGCAGCACCTTCCCTGCTGGGACAGCCATTGGCAGTGGCGCCTCGATGATGCTGGTGGCCTGCCTGAAGTCCGATGAGAGGCGCTGCACCACACTGGGGTAGGAGGGAGGAGGGAGAAAGGACCACCATCAAAGGTCATCTCCCACCATCATCCGATCACACGATCATCACTCATCATCACCACCAACCACCACCAACCGCCACCAACCGCCACCCATCACCACCCATCACCACCCATCACCACCCATCACCACCCATCACCACCCATCACCACTCATCACCACCCATCACCACCCATCACCACTCATCACCACCCATCACCACCACCCATCACCACCCATCACCACCACCCATCACCACCCATCACCACCCATCACCACTCATCACCACCCATCACCTCCCATCACCTCCCATCACCACTCATCACCACCCTTCACCACTCCTCACCACCCATCACCACCCATCACCACCCATCACCACCCATCACCACCCATCACCACCCATCACCACCCATCACCACCCGTTCACCACCCATCACCACCCATCACCACTCATCACCATCCATCACCACTCCTCACCACCCATCACCACCCATCACCACCAACCATCACCACCAACCATCACCACCCATCACCACCCATCACCACCCATCACCGCCCATCACCGCCCATCACCGCCCATCACCACCCATCACCGCCCATCACCAACCATCACCACCCATCACCACCCATCACCACCCAACTCACAGCTTCCGGAAAGTCGAAGGCAGCCCACTCGCCACACCCACACGCTTCCCAGAAGCTTCACCTCCAGCTACCTCCAAACCAGCACCCCTCCTCGCACGTGGCATGGCACCTAACGCCAACGACCCTCCACCACCACTTAAATCACTTTTTCTGTCACTTCCTTCGTTGTCACCCCCTTTACTATCACCTCCCCCAGGTGTGCCCGCCACCAGGTAGCGCATCTTCTCCTCCTCAGTCGGCCACCACTGCTTGCCCAGGCGATTGGTGATCCACATGCACTCGCCTGCCCTCTGCTCATCCTCTATCAGCTCAGCTATGCCTGTGAGAAAGTTGGGGAGGGCGGGATGGAGGTATATAGCAGAGGTAAGCAATGGGATATAGTGGGATTGTAACTAGCAGGTGTGCGCCCCTCCACAGGAAGCCAATTTTTTTGTCAACTCAAACATTGACTTATCACAGCAGGTGTGCGCCCCTCCACAGGAAGCCAATTTTTTTGTCAATTCAAACATTGACTTATCACAGCAGGTGTGCGCCCCTCCACAGGAAGCCAATTTTTTTGTCAACTCAAACATTGACTTATCACAGCAGGTGTGCGCCCCTCCACAGGAAGCCAATTTTTTTGTCAACTCAAACATTGACTTATCACAGCAGGTGTGCGCCCCTCCACAGGAAGCCATTTTTTTTGTCAACTCAAACATTGACTTATCACAGCAGGTGTGCGCCCCTCCACAGGAAGCATCTGCTCGCATCAAACCATAATGCAGATGGCACCATCGAGTGGTGCATAACCACACAATCCACACCCACCCGCCCACAAACCCACCCACGCACCTACCCAACCCCTCACCTACCCACCCACAAACCCCCCAACCCCTCACCACTCACCCACACACCCAGTCAGCCAGCCACCCGTTGTCTGCCCTCTCACCCACCCACCCACCTTCAACGATCAATGGTCTCCATGGGACTGCACCACCTAGCGAAGAAACCACCTTGGGGAAGGTGCACCTGCGAGCGCTGCTGTTTTCTCACACCATAGCTGCACAAAATGCCCACCAATGGTTCCCCCCTCCACACACACACCCACCTTCAACGATGGTCTCCATGGGAATGCAGCCGCCTAGCAAGGCCACCACCTAGGGGATATGCCTTCCACTCTTGCTTGCTCCCACCACAGCTGTGCAATCCCCACTCTTGCTTGCTCACGCCATAGCCCCACCCATCCACCCACCCACCCACGCACCGTCAACAATGGTGTCCATGGGAATGAATCCGCCTACTGAGGCCACCACCTTAGGGAGATGCTTGGCCGCCTGCCCTGTGATCTGGTTCACCAGAGGGGTTTCAATGAACTGCGAGCAGAGCAGGGGACAAGGGAGGAGACAACGGAGGAGTCACTCATGGGGAACAGGATTGATGGAATCAAATTTGGGAGATGAACCTTTTTCCGCCTGCCCTGTGATCTGGTTCACCAGAGGGGTTTGAATGAACTGGGAGCAGAGCAGGGGACAAGGGAGGAGACAAGGGAGGAGTCACGTGGAGCAGGATTGGGTTGGAATATGGGAGATGAATCTTCGCCGCCTGCCCTGTGACCGGCGTCACCAGAGGGGTTTCGATGAACTGGGAGCAGAGCAGGGGACAAGGGCAGGGATAAGGGAGGACTCACGGGAAGCAGGATTTATTTGGAGTATGGGAGATGAACCTTCGCCGCCTGTCCTATGACCGGCGTCACCAGAGGGGTTTCAATGATCCGGGAGGCAAACCAGGGGATAAGGGAGGAGGCAAGGGGGAGAGCACAAGGTAAGAGACACGACAAGAACAGGTATACATTGAGTGTGTGTTGCACGTGGAACACGTGTGGCATGTGAGGCATGTGGCATATGCGATGCATGTGGCGTATGCGATGCATGTGGCGTATGCGATGCATGTGGCGTATGCGATGCATGTGGCGTATGCGATGCATGTGGGTGTGGAACATATGAAAGTTACCTCAGGGCAAAGGGCGTTGATGCGAATGCCACTGGCAGCGAGATGAGCCAATGAACGTGTGAACATGACCACTCCAGCTGCGCTCCATACAGTCACATCGTGCATGCAGTCACATCATGCACAATCACATCCCATGCAGTCACATCATGCACAATCACATCCCATGCAGTCACATCATGCACAACCACATCCCATGCAGTCACATCATGCACAGTCACAAAGTCGCATCGCAAACTGAAAACATGCAGGAGGATACATGATTGTGAGGCTCGGACTATCAGAAGAACGAGAAGGGTGCAAGTCACCGTGACAAGCAGAAGAACGAGAAGGGTGCAAGTCACAGTGACAAGCGGAAGAACGAGAAGGGTGCAAGTCACAGTGACAAGCGGAAGAACGAGAAGGGTGCAAGTCACAGTGACAAGCAGAAGAACGAGAAGGGTGCAAGTCACAGTGACAAGCAGAAGAACGAGAAGGGTGCAAGTCACAGTGACAAGCGGAAGAACGAGAAGGGTGCAAGTCACAGTGACAAGCGGAAGAACGAGAAGGGTGCAAGTCACAGTGACAAGCAGAAGAACGAGAAGGGTGCAAGTCACAGTGACAAGCAGAAGAACGAGAAGGGTGCAAGTCACAGTGACAAGCGGAAGAACGAGAAGGGTGCAAGTCACAGTGACAAGCGGAAGAACGAGAAGGGTGCAAGTCACAGTGACAAGCGGAAGAACGAGAAGGGTGCAAGTCACAGTGACAAGCGGAAGAACGAGAAGGGTGCAAGTCACAGTGACAAGCGGAAGAACGAGAAGGGTGCAAGTCACAGTGACAAGCAGAAGAACCTCAGCAGAGGGAGGGAGGGAGAGAGTAGGTCCTACCTTTGGATGCGGCGTAAATGGGGCCGTTGGGCGAGGGGTACAGCCCTGCTGCTGATGCCACGTTCACTATCACGCCTCCCATGCCGCCCTTGCTGCCTTTCCCAGATAGCTGCATTGCGTGCACCTGGAGTCAGAGGGCAGGCAGGGAGCAAGAGGAGGGATGGTACAAGGAGCGGAGCAGCAGGTGTGAAGGATGAGGACGAAAGGAGTGAGAAGATGTGTACCGGCATCAAAAGCAACCTCCGGAAAGTGTTCAAACGTGTGCCGCTAATATGCTAACGATGTAGGCAATAAGGAGAGGCGACTTGAGAGGCAAGCGGAGAGAGAGTTCACAACACAAAATGAGTTTACAGCTGTGAGTTGGCACATTTGCGCAGTGCTGGACTGAGGATAACCTCCAACACTCACGGCAATGAGTGCTCGCATTGTTCAGTCAGACGTGAACGTCCCAACACTGGTGTTCCTTCACGTGGTTTTGTGATGTCCCAACAACCTTTCTCATTCACAGGGAGGGGAAGAGGCAGAGAGCGAGAGAACCTACAGCAAGGCGGGTGCCATCAACAACAGCCCTCAGATCGACACCCATCACATGGCGCCAGGAACCCTTGCCATCTGCTGACATGTCTGTGAGGAACCAGTCCCTCTCCTCTATGCCCACCACGATGTTTAGGGGAAGAAAGAGAACCTACAGCAAGGCGGGTGCCATCAACAACAGCCCTCAGATCGACACCCATCACATGGCGCCAGGAACCCTTGCCATCTGCTGACATGTCTGTGAGGAACCAGTCCCTCTCCTCTATGCCCACCACGATGTTTAGGGGAAGAAAGAGAACCTACAGCAAGGCGGGTGCCATCAACAACAGCCCTCAGATTGACGTCCAGCACGTGGCGCCAGGAGGAGCCCTTGGCATCAGTGAGTGAGAGGGCTCACTTGGGAGTGACACGGAGCGGCACACATACCTCAAGATGGGTCCCATCAAGAACAGCCCTCTGGGTGTCACCCAGCACATGGCGCCAGGAGCCCTTGGCATGAGTGTGTGATACGGAGTGGCACGGATACATACAGCAAGGCGGGTCCCATCAACAACAGCCGTCAGATCGACGTCCAGCACGTGGCGCCAGGAGCCCTTGCCGTCTGCTGACGTGTCCTTCAGGAACCATTCCTTCTCGCCTATGCCCGCGTTGTTCAGGCAGACGTCGAGACGGCCACACCATTGCATGTGCGCGGCGAATGCACGGGCCAGGTCAGCTGGGGAGTTGGGTGGGATGGATATGAATTGGAGGTATAAACAAAGCCAAGTTGTTGAGGCAGACATCGAGTCGGCCACACCATTGCATGTGCGCAGCGAATGCACCGGCCAGGTCAGCTGGGGAGTGGGTGGGAGAATGATATGCATTGGAGGTATAATAAGAAATGGTCAACGAGAGGGATGAGTAGAGCCAGTCCCTCTCGCTGATGCCCGCATTGTTCAGGCAGACATCGAGCCGGCCACACCATTGCATGTGCACGGCGAATGCACGGGCCAGGTCCGCTGGAGAGAGGGTGGGAGAATAGAGGACAGGAGGAATAGAGAACGGGAGGATAGCAGTAACGATGAAATGAGAGGGTGGATTGAAGGAACTAGTGAGGAAGGAGCAGAAGAAACCATTCTCCCTCCCCTATGCTCGAGCTGTTGAGACAGACGTAAACACGGTCACATCATAGGATGTGCACGGGCCAGGTCAACCGGAGAGAGAGGTCAGCAAGAATGACCCAACGAGAAAAACAGAAAGAACAGATTTAGGTCACTTACACCTTATAAACGGGATTTGGTACATGCAATAGGTGTAGATAAGAGCCCATTCTTGTGCCAAACGTTTCTTACAAGGCTTGCTGACGTCACACTGGACGAATCTCGCTGCATCTTGCCTCCCCGTCTGCTCTCGAATCAGCCGCACCGTTTCCAATCCGCCTGCTTCTGAGAAATCTACAACGGTCACCCGCAGGCCCTTGGACGCCAGATACAGAGAAGCCGCTCGGCCTGAGAAGCAAATGATGAAGAAAACCATGGAAAAATCAGAGAGCATAGAATCATAATTTCTGCAACACGAGTAAGAAATTCGAAGGATTCAATCACATCTGCAAGGTTCATGGTGCCTGGCCTTCATTTCTTAGTCGACTCTAAAATCGAATCTGCAAGGTTCATGATGTCTGGCCATCCAATGCATCGCATGATAAGCTGAAAACGTCTCTTTAAGCCAAGAGAGAGAAGAGAAGAGAGAGAGGCGAAGCGAAAGACAGAGGCGAAGAGTAAAGAGAGCGAAGACGGAACGGGGTTCAACTTGAATTGCGAGTGAACCATTTCGCGCAGACTACCTTGGTGTACTGAATGCTCGGACTGACTGCTCCTCTGGTATCACAAACGAATTTGAACAGAGTATATTTTCAGTCGACCCAAATGAGCTGCAATTGCAAACAGTAATCTGCATGCGTACCAATTCCTGAGCCAGCTCCCGTGACCAGCGCTGCCATGCCGTCAGCGAGCTTCATGGCCAGTGATTGAAACAGAACACTCTGAATTTGACGACAGGAACTGGAATAGAGGCACCGCGATCAAGGTCCGTCAAAATTCGACAGAAACAACGACCGTCACGGCAAAACGCGAAGGAATTCCGAGCTCGAGAAACGGCAAATGAAGAGTCGGAACGCAACGGACTCTTGAGATGCCTCGGGAATTGCGCAGGTCAGCGCGCAAGAGAGGCGAGGCGATGCGACAGGCGAAAGTGAATTCAATCTAATCAACGAGCCAGTCAATGCGCCGTGGTCACGGGCGAGGGATGGCTGTGGGAGGGAGTTCGTCCCTCCGAAAACACTTCTGTCTGCTGGAAGCCAGGTTTGTCGCCAGAGGTAGGAATAGCTGCTGGATGAAACTCGTGGCTTCAAGCAGACAGGTTGAATTTGTGGGAAGACACAAACGAGATGATGGCAATGGTACAGTGGCGGCGAGCTGTATTGACGCTGTATATATAGCAGAAGTTAATTGTACATTTATATATATATTTGCTAACATCTACCGATTGCTATGCACACAGCTCCAGCCAAATGCTTTTGCCTTCGTTTCTAAACCAAATTATATACAACAATTACTAGGGAACATGAATTACAACGCATGAATTACAGAATGAACTTCGACCTGCTTTGCAGGTCATTCTTGGTTTCAGGCTGGGGGGCCAAGGCCCTTGCTTCAGCTGCTACTTCCCTGGCAGTAGCAGCCGCCTGATTGGCTGCAGCCACCACATCAGACAAACTCTCATCCGAAGCCGAAAGTGCTTCTGCCCTCTTCTTTGCCCTCATTGCAGCCTGCAAGTTAAGCCATGAGCCAGAAGACACGGTGAAAGGTGAACGGTGAGTAGATAGGCCATGAAACAATGTACAAGGAAGAACACAACAAGCCTTCAGGGAAAATGAGAACCTACGGATAGAAAGCGTCCAGATTTACAGGAAGCCACGCTCACCTCAACGGCTGCTAGGACTTTAGCAGGGTCCACTAATGGCCGCCCATTGACTGGAGACTGGCTCGCTGTGAATGCTGATGGTGACATTGCTGATGGGGATGCTGCTGATGGTGACGATGCTGCTGAAAAGGCTGATGGTGATGATGGGCTTGAGGATGCATCCCAGCTGCCGGAGTCCGAAAGAGAGTCGGACACCGCATCAAACGCACAGGCAGCCGATGGAGCAGAGGCGGTGGCAGAGGGTGCAAAGGCTGCAGCAGTGGTGGCAGCGCCGGCAGCAGCAGCGGCGGAAGCAGGAGTGGCAGAGGCAGTGCTGGTGTCGCAGCAGCGTGTGAGCAGCGCTCCCAGGTGCCAGTGGCCCATGAGGGAGTCTCCGCTGCGGAAGGAGTATCGGCCCAGCCCCTGCTTGCACCCGTCGTGCCACGCGCCCTCGTAGCTCTGCCCGTTGCTGAACGTGTACACGCCGTACCCGTGCATGGCGTCGCGGAAATACTCCCCTGTGTAGATGTCACCGTTTCTGTGAGAAAAGAAAGTTTAGGGATAAGGGGAGGGGAGGCATTGTCGGAGGGTCCTTGCTGAAAATGTATACGTTCTTTCACAATTACTCCTTTCAGTCAGAATATGTTCGCTCTTAGGAATGGCTTTGCCAAGAACCAGTGGAGGCACATGCCTCTCAACTCTTCCCAATGGCTTTGCTTACCTGCATGTGCAATCCCCAAACCGTCGTTTCACTATGAGTTGCCTCGTATACCTGGAAGAGCTACACAAACACCAAACGGCGTTACCCAAAGGCGTTACCTGAAGTAGGTATAAACAGATTTAAAGCGGTACCTGAAGGTGTATATCCCGAAGCCGTGCTTGAGCCCGTACGAGAACTGCCCCGCGTACGTGCTCCCATCCGCGCACATCTGCAGCCCCGCGCCGTGACTCTGCCCGCGCGCCCACGCGCCTGCATACGCGTCCCCCGTGTGGAACTGGTACAGCCCCCGCCCATCGCGGTATCCGCGTTTGTACTCGCCTCGGTACACGCTCCCGCTCTCCCACGATTCTACACCCAGCCCGCTGTATTTTCCGTCCGCCCACTCGCCTTCGTATTTCCCCGCAGCTTCGTCGAAATAGTACACGCCGCTTCCAGACGCTACCCCGTCACGCGTCTCGCCTTCATATCTATCCCCGTTAGTGTACCGCCTCACAGTAAGACATAACGCGTCGTCTACAGCATCTCCGGGCTTTGATAAGCTTTTGCTGGTGCCGCCGGGCCGCAAATAGCGCATAAAATCCGCGGAGCCGGCGGAAGATCGCTCCGCCAGATGCGCGGAGCTGCGCCTCCCGCGCGGAGAAGGCGAAAGTTGCGCCTGCCACCACGCCGCGCGCCAAAACCCCCCGCCGAGTCCCATCTTGGCGGATTTTCCGCAGAGGTCGCGCATGAACGCGGATCCCCCCGGTGCGCACCCGCTTCCCCCCGAGGAACCTCGCCCGCCGCCCCCGCGATCGGCGGAAAGAAGCGCTGCGAGGGGGAGGCTCAAATGCGGATGCCGCCGAATCAGGTGGATAATGGCGAATCGCGTCAAAGCGGCGGTGCCGAAAAAGAGGAAGAACAGGGCGGTGAGGTCCAGCCACGCGGCGGTCGTTGATTGGTGGACGGAAGCCGTCGCACCAGCGGGGAGCTTTGGGAAAGGGAAGATGCCGCGGTGGAAAGGTGTTCGAGCCGGTAACCCGCCGCGGACAAGCAGCACGAGGATAGCGACGGCGCCGAAGCCGACGAGTGGTAACACCTGCGATTGCGAAAGCGAGACAGTTGGGAAAATATTGAGGCCCCTCACAAAAAGCACCTGCAAGTTCGAAAGTGGTAGAACGGTTGGGGAAAGGTTTGGGGAATAGGAGAGAGGAACGGGAGGAGGGCGGAGAAGGGGCGTGGAAGGGTGGGGGGACGGATGCCAGCAAGAAAAGGGCGTGGTACCTGGGGGACACTAGGGAGTCGGGTCCTTATTTTTCACCTTGTGGTGCGACGTATGGAGGTACAAATAAGATTACCTGCTTGAGGTCATGTGGAGGAGCAAAGCGTACCTGCTTGCCGGATCGAGCGCGGTTCCGCAGATAGTGGTCGGCGTTTCCGTGCTCGTGCGAGTCCTTCGGTATCGACACGCAGCATGACCCGCACGGCGCCTTTCTGCAGCAATCGCCCTTGGCGAGAGCGTCCGCGCTAAAAGATTGCCCGCTATAAGCATCTGCGTCCGCGTGACTCATTACAGGTACGTAAAGGTGTGTCTGTAGCCAGGTGATCCCTTGTTTAACAACGGACGCGGTGTGAGTGACGCCGGGCAGAGTTAAAAACTTTCTGTGGAGAAAATCGGAGTCAAATGAACAAAGCTTCTTAATCAAAGCTCTGGACTGTCCTTTAGTGTCTAGAAAATAAGCCGCTATGACGAGCGATATCGGAAGGTTCTCGGATGCAGCGTCGTTTTCGACCTCATCGCCGTCGTTTCTATCCTCCCTATTATCGTCCTCGATAACGTACTTTGACGAAACAAAAACACCCGCTTCCGCGCTATCCTTCCCCGCCTCGCTCGTTATCCGGGAACGGGAGGTGACGTGAGCGACACGTCTGCGAGGCCCGGAACCGTGCTCGGAATGCGGAGCACAGGATACGGAAACAGGCTCACGACGCGAAGCGTCGCATTCAAACTCGTCGAGCTCTGGAGCAATCTGAAAACAGTTTCGCGCTCGCGGAGCTTCGTTGGGTGATTTCTGGGATTCAGCCGCAGGGTGTGCGATGCCCTGTTGGCCGGAAAACGAGCTGCTGTGCATGCCTCTCGTTTCAGCTCCGCGAGAAAAAGAACACGTTGTTTCCACCCTCAGGAGCTCCTAGAGATGTAGTGTTGGGGAAGACGGAGGAAAACAGAGCAGACGGCGGCACAGCACTAGATGATTGGGGTGGATGGGGTATGACGTGATGACTGGTGGGACTAGAAAAGAAGGTTGGAAAAATGGCAAAATGTACGGTCGGAAAGAAAGAGCGCCGCACTTGGCTTTCTCGGGACACGCGACGCGAAGCCGAACGGAGCAATCTACCGAGGACACTAGCACGACATAATTCTATGTCGAGGGTTGTCGGGTTGATGGGGGGAATGTGAGGCGGCGATGGAGGGCGAAGTTTGTATTTCACAACGGGGGAAACTGTGATGTGATGGGTATGAGCATCCTGGTCACGGGAAGCGTTTTGGGGCGGTTGGTTACAATAATCTTTGGTACAGTACGCCAAATTCAGGTTTCGTTCGGCAACGCCGAAATTGAAGGAGTGTACGAAAAGAGGAGGAGAAGCAGATTGCAGGCGGTGCGGTGATGCATTTTTGTGCTTTCGATTCAAGGTGGGTGTTGCTGAGCTGTGGTTTCAGTGTGAATGCCAGCCGCTAAGGAGAGATTTCGCCGTTGCTGAGGTGTGGTGAGTCGACGGCGACGCTGACGACAGCAGCAAGAGTCACTGACAGTGAATGGAGTGGAGGGGTGCGAAGTGCGAAGCTGAATGGACGGACGGATTGAGCTCGGGCCCACAAGCATCAAAATTTCAACGAATCGATTGGACCTTCAGGCCTGAACCGTGTCATGCTGACGAGGAAACACGCTGGAACAAGAGAAGTGGAACCGCAAGTGAGAGCCCCACTGGAGTTCGGGAAAAGTCAACTAGACGTGTCACCCATAGATTTGGGAGACACAATGACCACGAACTGCTTTGACACGTCCACTCTGCACATGCTCCAACCACGGACGAGCATCAACGCGCCGGCCACGCGGGCTTGGCAATGGACGACGTGGAACCACGGAAGGAAGCACGAAGCTTGCGTGTGCCTGAAACGTTCCTCGATTTTGTATTCGCTTCGTCTATGGAATATAGCACCAAGTGTGGTAAAACAAATATGAGAACAACTTATGATGGATATAATGGCAGAGGTGCCAGCCAGTTGAGCAAATCACAAGTACATGAACCTAATTCGTATGAGCAACCCATCCTGTCCTGTGCCTGGCCTTACTTTTCACCCAAAATTGCATTCCACATTTCACGAATTTTTGCAGCTATATCCACTATTTGGGGCCGTTTCGTTTGGTCGGGGGAGCACATAACACAGGGGCAATGGGGGTAATCCTCGACCAGTTCACTCGACTGCGCTGTTTTTTACCAAGAGAATACCAGTTTCATTCAAACCGTTACGCAACGCAACGCAAGGTGTCACTGTCCTTGTGTTATCCTCCAGGCACACTTGCGTATCCACAAATGTGGCGGAATGCCTTTCGCCATGACAAAACGCTAGAATACCCCTTCCCTGCGAGCAACGCATCAACTCAGCAGCAAACTGGTACCGTTTGTAATCAAGCATCGGCACTCGAACCTAGCAAATATTGCAACATTCAAAAGTTTGAACATAGGTACCTTCAACACTCGGTCTTTATCAAACTTTATAATACACCACCCACGACGACACAATCGTTTTCCCCTCCCCTCCCTTTCTCTCCCCTCCCCTCCGCTCCTTACTCTTCCATCCTTCCCGCGACTTTGACACCCCTCATCCAACTCTCTTCACGAATGCTTTCGAGCCTGCCCCTGCACCTGCCTATGCAACTGACCTCGCCAACCATCTTTCCACCATTCACCCCACTTTCCTTACCACCGCTGTCGCTACTACCCTCACAAACACTCTCCTCGCGGATTTTCTCGCAGCCATCTTGGTTCCCATCCTTCCCACGCCTTTTCCCGCTGGTCCTGCCAGGGCATGTGAGCTTGTGGGAGGGCCAGTGTGCCTTCTGGCAGTCTCTGCTGCAGTACGCCACCTTGCCACACCCACCGCAACTCCTCAGCTTAAAACCACCACCACCCTTCACCCTCCCACACCCCGCAGCACTGCACACATGGCCTTGGACATCCGAAGCAGCAGCAGCAGCAGTAGCAGCAGCAGCAGCAGCAGCAGTAGCAGCAGCAGCAGTAGCAGCAGCAGTAGCAGCAGCAGCAGCAGCAGCAGCAGCAGTAGCAGTAGCAGCAGCAGTAGCAGCAGCAGCAGCAGCAGTAGCACGGATGCTCGTAGAAGTGAGGGGAGAGGCACCAGGTCGAGAAGACACCGCAGCAGCAGGACAGGTGGAAGGAGCAGCATGGGTGGACGTGCTCCCAGGAGGAGTAGCAGGGGATGCAGGGCGGTAGCAAGGCTCCCCGAGCAGCATCTCTCGCAAACATGCTACCAGGTTGACCCCCCCCGGCCATGCCTTCAGATACGCCGGCTCCTCCCCCTTCTTGCCTTTCTTCTCACAACTGCTGCTGCTGCTGCTGCTGCTGCTGCTGCTGCTGCCACCCATCCACTCACAATTGCTGCTGCTGCTGCTGCTGCTGCCAGTGCTTCTCTCCCTGGCACACCCACGCTGCCCTTGCAACCCCTCACAGTACCTCGGGACAATTGCTGCCTTAAGAAACCACGAAATGTCCCACCCTCTTGCCGCCTGCTTCCTGCTGCCTCTGCACTCCTCGCTATCTCCCTCACCCACCACGTCAAACCTCCACGCAGCCATCACCGAGGAATACCACATCAGCACCTCCTCCCACACCTCTCCACCGTTCTCCTGACCCTCCCAACCATCCAAGCACCTTTCCACCTTCAACCTCCCACCTGCGCCCTCTTTCCCTTTTCCACTGCATTCCCGCTCAAGCACATCGTTTTTTATAAGAGCATGAGCGCACCACACAGCCATGTGAATGAGAAAATATAAAGGCACCTGCTCGGCTCGCTCCAGCAGCATACCCACATTCACAGGCCTGGGCAGGCGAGCAGGGAGGTCCAAACACTCTACCAGCTTCACAAACCCAGGGGAGGCCGGCGGGAAGGCCAAGAGAACCCGGGCGAAAAGGTGACTTACGGGGCGGTAGGCAAAGTTGGCAATGACAGCAACGGTGGATGCAAATGCCAGGAAGTTTGTGGTGCAGCGGGTGCAGTGGGTGCATGCAGGGGGGTCCATTACGTACCCGGCTAGCCCCAACAGCAAGTCTATGTCTGCCTCGCAGCGCACGATAGGAAGCTTGCTTCTGGCGGGCGGTAGTGTGACTCTGTGCTCGGCGTTCCGAGGTGCTTCTGCCCCTTTCCCACACGCACTGCTCGGTTTGGCTTCAACACTGGATTCCTGCCCTGCTGCCTTACAGCCTTTTCTCCTTGCAGCACTCCTGCTCTTTCCTCCTGCTTCAGATGTGCGCTGAGGAGGAGGAGGTGGGGTGCACTTCTCTGCTAGTCCACCGCACTCCTCCACAATCCCAAGCCCAAAACATCGCTCTTTCGGGTTGACAGGAAACTTCGCAGCAGCTTCATCGCCCCCAGGCAACTCCTCCCACACCAACGGAACGTTGCTTCCCTCCAGAGGCTTGGGAATGGCGCCAAACCTGACCAGCAGGCTCGGAAGGTCCCGAAGCGGGTGGCGCATAACCCGTACATTGCTCTGATCACCGTCCTTCAAGCACTGTTTCCCAGAGATGGAATCTGGGCTGTAGATTCGGATCCACTGCAAGATGCAACGGACCCGATAGGTGAAGGCAGCAACCACGAAATCCGTGTTCACAGGCACAAGTCTTTTGATTGGTACTGGCCTATCGACAGGCACGAGCCTAGCGTTTGTAGCAACGGCTGTAGCAGGCTGAGGGGGCTGGAGGGACTAAGGGGGCTGAGCCCCTCCCACACCTGCCCGGTCTCCTCCATCCATCCCCCTTCTCTGCTCTAAGCGATGCTGCAGCAGCGTCCTTCTAGCCACCTGAATAGCTGCTCTCTCTACCTGCACCTTGCTCGCAGGGTTCGCATTATAAAAGTACATCTCTGCCTCCATCCAGTGCTCTGGTTTCAGCAATGCTGTGGTGACAGCGAGGGCAAAATCGGTCGCACTTACACCACTCACGTGCATGCCCTTGGGAGGACCGCTGCTCGTACTGCTGGCCCCAAAAGCAGACTCATCACTCGCTGCGGTGACAGCGAGGGCGAACTCGGTCGCACCTACACCACTCACGTGCATGCCCTTGGGAGGACCGCTGCTCGTACTGCTGGCCCCAAAAGCAGACTCATCACTCGCTGCGGTGACAGCGAGGGCGAACTCGGTCGCACCTACACCACTCACGTGCATGCCCTTGGGAGGACCGCTGCTCGTACTGCTGGCCCCAAAAGCAGACTCATCACTCGCTGCGGTGACAGCGAGGGCGAACTCGGTCGCACCTACACCACTCACGTGCATGCCCTTGGGAGCACTGCTGCTCTTACTGCTGGCTCCAGAACCGCTGACGTTGCTGCTGCTGCTGCTGCTGCTGCTGCTGCTGCTGCTGCTGCTGCTGCTGCTGCTGCTGCTGCTGCTGCTACTGCTGCTGCCCCCTTCACTGCAGTGGCTGCACTGGAAATTTCTTCCTTCCCCCCCTCCATGCTCCAAAATCCAAGCCATGCCATCCACATACCGCTTCCACACGGGCCCTCTCGCATTCTCCCTCCACTTCAAGTCCTTCCTTAACCTCCTGCCCTTCCTAGCAGCCGCTAGGACCTGTACCTTGCTCTCTCCCTCCTCCTCCCCGTACCTCTCATCGCTCGCCAGCCCCTCATGCCTTCCTGTCTCCTCTTCAGTACCTTTTCCCACACCCTCACATTCCCCGTCTCCCCATCCCCCCTCTCCATGCACCTTCTCCAGCCCGCCTGACAGCACATGCTGCAAAAAAAACCCAAACCCTTCCTGCAGGTCAGCACTCTCCTTCACCCCGAGCACTTGAACCAGCATGGAAGCAAAGCAGTCTTTTTCTGCCTGCCTGCCCGCCCCTAGCTCAGCCAGAATTGCTGGCCAGGCGGCCAAGTGCGAGTACTTATGAGCCCTCCATAGAGTCACAATGCGGGAAGATCTCGCTACAAGAACGAGGTGTGTTGCGAAGTTGACGGCACGGCGGTAGGCAGCCCAGCAACTGCTGCAGCGCCAGCAGCAGGACCAAGCTGCGGAAGCAGCGGGAGATGAAGATGTTGCAGTAGCTGGAGCAGAAGCAGCAGCAGCAGCAGCAGCAGCAGGAGCATCGGCAGCTGGAGCAGAGGCAGCAGGAGACGATAACACATCTGCTGCAGCGTTCGCAGTTCCCAGAATGGATGGCAGGCGGGATCGGATCCTCCCTAGGTCCATGAGCACGCCCACATGAGGCTCAGCCATCCACTCAAGCAGCATTGCTTCCGCACAAAAGTGAGGCGCCCATTCCATCTTCCATACAACCTCCTCCTCCGGCGATATTCTGCGGCCCGCTCGCAGCACCCGCAGCTCCTTTGCTCCACTAACGCACTTCAAATTGGCCTGCTGCTGCTGCTGCTGCTGCTGCTGCTGCTCGGGTGCTGCGGCAGGGATGCAATCCGGCTGGGGTCTTGCCAGGTGGCGGCCACGCACGTCCTTCATGCTCTTTATGCCAAGTGCTTGCTGTGCTCTCTGGCTCACTGCACGGTCAAAGCAGCACCTGCATACATCCGCATCCCACGCACTCGTTACATCCAAGTAATGAACCATCCCCGCCCGCGACAGCAGCTGACGCGGCTTCCGACTCTCCCCAGCTCTTGCTTTCTCTGCTGCCGCTCCGTTTGTCACATCGGACTGACCCGGTCCCCCCTGGTCGATCTGGACTCCAGAGCAGGGTTTCAAATGCAGTGTCGCATTCGTCTTCACCGGCTCGTTCAACTTCTGAAGGGACTGCAACAAGCATGCTTCTTTCACAGCATGGTCTTCCTCTTCCTCTCCCTCGCCCTCGCCCTCTTCCTCTTCTTCCTCTTCCTCTTCCTCCTCCTCCTCCCCTTCCTCTTCCTCTTCCGCTTGCTCTGCTGCCCCTCCGTTTGCCCCAGTGCACTGACCTAATCCACCTTGCTCGTTCTCAAGAGTCCGCAGCCAGGCATCCATACTCTTCCCCTGCTCTTCCAACTCATGGAAGGACCGTGACAAGCGTGATTCTCTCACAGAATAGTCCTCTTCCTCTTCCTCTTCCTCTTTCGCTTGCTCTGCTGCCTCTCCGTTTGCCCCAGTGCACTGACCTAGTCCAATTTGCTCCTTCTGAAGAGTCCGCAGCCATGCATCCATAATCTTTCCCCGCTCTTCCCACTTCTGAAGCTGTAACAAGTGTGCGTCGACCTCATCACCTTTCTCTCCCTCTTCCGTTTCCCTGCCATTGCCAGCGTCAGAATCAAGGCACTTCAGCTCTGCTCCGCGAATCCCTATTAGCGCTCCTCTCTTCGGCTTACGACCCTCGCCTTCCATGCTGCTGGGCTCGTTAGGTTCCAATTTGGTGGTGACAGCAGCAGGCGCAGCAGCAGGCGCAGTAACACGAGGATGAGGAGAAAGAGCATCCGAAACGCGAGAAACTGCAGTTGCAGATGCAGGAGCAGGAGCAGGAGCGTTCCGGAATGCCTGGACCTTCTTCTCGCCCTTGTCCCTTCGATTTCGAGATACTTTTTCAATTGAATCCACGATGATCGTTATACCCGCAGTAAGCTTGGTTTGCTCAACGGTCAAGTCAGAAGAAAGGCGCACTTGCGGCCCAACCCCAATAGCCGTGAACCCAATATCAAATTCTTGCTCCACCGATTTCAACCTGTCTCGACCTCTCCGCTGCTGACGTGTCTCGTGTGGCCGGCAGCAGTTGGGCAGATGGGACTCAATCAGTCTGCAGGAAACCGACGATAGAAGCTCGTTAGGAGCAACAGTAAGAAAGACGTCCGCGTGTGCTGCAGACGGCTTGATTCCAGAACCGTTGTTACCGAAAGGAGGGTCTTTATCCGTGACGCATCGTGCGGACTCGCCAATTCTAATCGGGCGGCTGTTACGTTCACGGTTTCTCAGACAAGCTGGAATTCTGAATTTGACCTCGAAATCCATGTCGGATGCTGCAATATTCTGATCGAATTCGCTAGTTATCAGTCGAAGCCACCCACTGACTTGTAATCAGATCCGCCGATTTTAACTGGAACAGCAAGGCCAGGTACTAAGAGTGCTATCTCTGTCGATGACTCAATTCCAACGAGTAAGCAAGCTGAGGCTAGGTTACGACACCAATGGGATGGGATATTCCCGTCAGGCAACGCTTTCCCAACCACGCTTTCCGATTCATGCGACGCCTTTCCATTGCCCAAACCGAGCGAAACGTTTCCATTGTGCACATCGTTCTGGATAAGCATAAAACCATCCCATCATGGTCTGGCGTCTGGGAAACATAAGTGCTAGACGACTCGTTCTTATCACAGCTGTCATCATCAGCCCAGGACCGTCGATGCGTCGCCTAAACAGAAAGGATATTACCGTGTAGTATAGCTGATCTGTCTCGAGACGTCCTAGATTCTTGTTGTGGGCACAGCTTTGATGTTGCTATGGCCTGAACACAAACGCCTCGGATGTGCCGAGCAAGTCTCATATCGCGGACAGTGTACTGTGAATCTGAAGTTGTCAGATCCGAATGTGCGTCACGGGTTTTGTCAGTGCTTCCGCGATTGGAGACGTTTTGATACAATGGCGTGAGTAACACCGTAGGGTGATTTGAAAATACAAACGTAAAACATAAAATATGAGGTGAGGTCAAAATTTTGGCTTGGGCATGTCCACATTCCGATGATTCATTGCGCACATCTATGCATCTCCTAAAATGCTACTGGTGGTAGGTACCCCAGCTGACTGTCACATGGCTTAGCAGCCCACACACGGCCTCCCTCTCCCATCCCATGCACTAAACACATGGCATAGAAAACCACTGGCTCTATTATAATTTATAAAGCAACACCAGCAACACATGTTGTACCCTTATAGCATGCTAATAGCAGACTCTTGAGGCGCCTCAAAAGTGGTGCATGTTCTACTCCTATCCTATGACATGATAGTTGAGGAGCCACTAACAGCCTCTCGCATCGCACGGGCCATTTCAGCACTGAAGTCAGGGGAGCCATCAGAACCTCTGATTTTTGTGTCAATGCCAGAAACCTCCGCGCTCGCCTGCGCCCTGAACATCTCCTGCTTTAACTTAACCAGCTCCGCCAGCACTAGCAGCATGGAGGGGCGGGAGGCCCCAGACAGGGCAGTGCAGAAGAGGGCAAGGCGAGCCAAGCGCAGCACCACACCATCCGGTGCTTCCAAACGAGGGTCCTTGAATTCTGCCACTGCTCCAGAGATCACCAGTGGGGCTACCTGCCAGGTTGAAATAATTTGGCATACGAAAAAGGCTTTTCAAAAGCAGGAGTGTTGCATGAAGAGCAAATCCGTCAATACACTAGAATAAGAGTATAGGTGGCAGGAAAACGGTGTATTAACGAGGAGAATGTAGACGCATGGGATGGGTGAGTAGTTTGAAATAAGGGTGTGCGGTTTGAAAGAGCCTGCGCTAGGGAGAGGAGCAACAAGGTAGACAGCAGTAGGATAGGATAGCTGATTGTGTGACAGGTGCAGGGTGAAACAAGATATCATGGTAATACTCACCTTGCTCAATACATCATGTGTCCTGTGGAGAAAGGAAGAGAGGATCACATGAACCAGCCTACACGTTTCCGGTCAAGGTGGTAAGCAAGTAAACCTATTCATTGTGTGTAGTTGCGGAAGTGCACTTGGACTTAGGAAAATGGTATTAGTGCCCCATTTGGACGTTTTCTAGGCTTTGTATACCGTTGTGAGGTATGCCTCACCCATCTCTTGATGTTGACATGGTCGTCCTCTATAACAAGCACAGCCTTGCGCCCCGTAAGCACCACCATCATCACCACGCCAAAACTGCAATCAAGGCACCCAGAAAGGACGTCATCTGTGAAACGATGCTCACGCGTGACACCTCAAGAAGACGCATTGGACAGTCTCCATAGAAAAAACATCATAAATATGACCTTCACAATACTTGTGTCCCAAAACCCCATCGTAAAGTGGCCAAGAATTTCAGAGCCTTTGATTGGTCAGGCATGGCAAGCATGCCTCAAATGCCAGCCACGGACAGCCACTAAGAAACGAGGCAAAACAACACGGTGAAGGTAAAAAAAACAGAACCCTGAGACTTTTCGCAAACATAAGATGCCTTTTGGATGGTTATTTCGTCCCAATATGCTCACCTGTACCAATCTTCTGACCTGCACCAATGTGCTTACCCATGCTGTGCCAATCTACTCACCTGTACACATCAACATCAGGAGAAGGCTTGTGAGAGCTGCAGTATTCAGGGTCCATATAGCCCAGTGTTCCCACCAGTCGAATGGCAGCCTCCGATGTGGCCATAGATGTCCCTCCAAGCAGCTTCACGAGCCCAAAGTCTGCGATCTTTGCCTGCCCATCATCAACCACAACAATAACATCATCATGCAACATGAATTTAGCTTTGAGGCGCCTCGAAACCACACAGCTTCAAAAGACCAATGTTGGCAAACTTTGCCTGCACATCATCAACCGCAACAGCATCATCATGCAACAGGAGATTTAGTGACGTGACTCTATGCTGGCCTATTCAAAATATCCCATGATGGTAGAAAAACGATGAACAAAACGGATAAACAAAGCACCTTCTTCCACATGCAACCCGGCTTTGATGTTTTAGCATGCCTGCATTTTTCCATCAAGGAGAATGTTGGCCGGCTTGATGTCGCGATGCAAAATCCTGAAGTCGTGAAGATACTGCAACCCCTTGGCCACTCCAATCAGATTGTCCAGCCTTTGTTGCAGCGAAAGAGGGCTGGAGATACCGGCGCCGATCCAGCTGTCAAGGTCGCCATTGGGCATGAGCTCATAGACAAGAATCTGCTCCTGGTTCATTTGGACGGGTCAAAGTCGATGCAATAGCCCAACAGACGCACGAGATGCGGATGGCTCTTGCTTGCCATCTCTTTCACCTGGAGGAACACGAGATGAAGCATGGAGAGAGATGTGAATACCGAGAGCGCCATTTGTTCACACTGAATTCAGTGCAGTGGCCCAACAGATGCGACGCAAGAGATGCGGATGGTTCTTGCTTGCCAACTCTTTCACCTGATGGGGGAGGGGAAAGATGGCGAACAGATGAAAGGAGAAAGAACAATCCAATGAACAATCAAGTGTTGGGACTTGGCACAAGAATCCAGCAAGAGTTGTGGTACCAACCAACCAAAACTCACAACATGATACCTATCTCTTGAATTCAATCGTGCTGGTCGTTTTTTAGGATTTTCAAAGCCGACTCACCTGTCTATGGAAGTCGTTTGTGAGCACTCGAGCTCGTTTGACTGCCCAAGCTTGATTGCAATCGTGGGGAGAAACAGCCTTGTACACAGCCCCAAAGCCGCCACTTCCTATCCTGTTCCCCTCTGCCCACTCTCCTGTGGCCTTTGTCAGATCTGCCAGAGAGTATTCTCGACAGACATATGACTGTGCTACTTCCATCCCCACCACAACACCACCACACTGCCCCCTTCGTGCTGCTGCTGCTGCTGATGGTGATGGTGGTGGTGCTACTGCTGCAGCAGCTGTAGCCGTCCCTTCTGCTGCTGCTAATGGTGGTGGTGCTGCAGCAGCTGCTGCAGCCCCTTCTGCTGCTGCTGATGGTGGTGGTGCTGCAGCCCCTTCTGCTGCTGCTGATGGTGGTGGTGCTGCAGCCCCTTCTGCTGTTGTTGATGGTGGTGGTGCTACTGTTGCAGCAGCTGCTGCAGCCCCTTCTGTTGCTGCTGATGGTGGTGGTGCTACTGCTGCAGCAGCTGCTGCCACCCCCTCTGCTACTGCTGATGGTGGTGGTGCTACTGCTGCAGCAGCTGCTGCCACCCCTTTTGCTGCTGCTGATGGTGGTGGTGCTACTGTTGCAGCAGCTGCTGCAGCCCCTTCTGCTGCTGCTGATGGTGGTGGTACAGCTGATGCAGAACCTGCTGCCGCCCCTGATGTTGCTAAATCCTCCTCACAAGGAGCTTCTGTGAAGGAAGAGGAGGGGATGAGAGAGAAAGCGAGACATAGAGCAGGGTAAGGGGCCTGGAATACCCACCACACATATTTTAGTACAGTACGGGCCAGGAAGGACCGCCACCCACCATGGCTTAAAGGGACAAATGTTGCAACATTGGGATTAAAGCCGAATGCGTGGTCTACAAGGAGACGAATTT